ACCGACCCACTGGAACAAGAACGGAGTAATCAAAGAATAAGCAACCAACTTACAGGGCTAGAAGTTGAGTTTTAAGTTTGGATTTTAAGGCCTCAACAGAGTCAGACTGTCAGATGTTTGCAAAGTCACATCGTTACACAACATCATATTTGATAGTTGAGAAGCTACACTCATAAATCAATCATGGCTCTCTCATAAAGCAGCTCAGTCATAGGCCTGCATTCCTACAGCACATGTTTATCCGGTATCACCAACTTGAAACGACACAACGTCCTTATCAGTTTATTTTCTAATTCTGTGTATTGATAAGGTGTCACGATTCATGGAAAAATCCTTGTATGTACAGTATGTAGCAGCTCCACCCGTGGGCCCCCGTGCACTTTGAGGCGTCGCTGACTGACACTGATATCTGTCAAAGGATCTCTCAGAGGGAAGCTACTGTACAGATTTCTCCACTCAGTGCAGAGTCATAGCACCCTCCTGTGGAAGGGAGGGTAATCATGGCCCCCTTGCCCCTCCACCCCCCCATGTCTGCTGACTCCCTGTTGAGCGCATACTTTCTGCAAACAACCTAATTTCTTAAAAAATTGAGGACCAACTTTCTTATCTTCCTCCCTTACTCCTTGCTGTGATAATCCCAGAGAACAGCGATTCCTCCTCTCCTGATAACAGTTCAAAGATGGAGAGGAAGTGAGTGAAACGAGGGAGAGAGGGAAGGGAGGGAGGAGAGGAGAGTGAGGGTGAGATGGGGTGGTGGGGCTCAGAGCAACAAGCTGTTGTATTAATCTGCAAATTTTCTCAGATGACGCAAAGACTGTGACTTTGCCTCCCGTCTCTTCCCTTCATCTTCACGTCCCTCCTCTCTCCCGTGTGTCTCCCGATGCCTCGATCTTGTCGGATGGGAGACAGCGACACACAGCAGGTAAGCCTGGTTGCCTCCTTGTTGTCCTTTTTCCTCCCTTCAGTACACTTCCATTCATTCACCGCTGACACATGCTGCCGGTTCGGACCATTTATCAGCTTTGACAGGGTTATTTTGATTTGTTTGGTGTTTCAGAATGGCTCTGTTTGATTGTGTGGGGCTTCATCATTTATGATTATTGCCTTGATGTGTATTTATTCCTCTCCAGGGAGAAGGATGACTCTGTGTATTAGGATAATGGTGTAGGTTTTGCAAAGTTAACCACATTTTTACTTTTTAAATCTGCTGTTTGAACATGTGTGACCTGTAATATCTGATCAGTTATCAGCGTTGTTTAAGCCCTCTGTGTGCTGTCAGAGAGGAGAGGATCAGAGAGATTTAAAGCTGGAAAAAGGAGTCTCCAAGACGTCTGTTGGCCAAATGAGAAGATGGATTTACTGTACGGAGTGAATGAGCTGTGTGAAATTCAGTCCTGCTGGAGTGAGGAGCGATAGAGAAATTGCGACGACAGATCAAAAAGGAAAGAAGGGGAGAAAGAGAAAGTTTATAAATAGCAGAGCTTTGCGAGGGTGAAGAGAGCAGATGTGATAGACAGTCTGTGCTTAAGGAGTTCAAACAACAGATTAATACACTCAGATTATCGTCCGAGAGAGGGGAGGGGAGGGAGGAGGGTGTGTGCTTGACATGTGTGGACACACACAGATGCAGACTAAATCACACACACACACACACACACACACACACACACACACACACACACACACACACACAAGCTCAAGTGTTTTCATTGATCATTGCAATGTAAATATGTTTTACACGTTTTGGATGTCATATTGAGGTCATGGAAGGTGTGAACACATTTTGTTTTAAATATTTATTGACATTTTTTATTATTTTTAATGAAATTTTTTTGTCCAAACATCTCTTTCATGCTAGAATGTTCTAAAAGTGAATTAATCAATTAACTGATCAACATAAAATTAACCAAAAAGCGTTGATAATGATAATGAATCGTTTTAGTCATTTATCAGCATTTTCTTCCTGTTGGTTTTCTATTATTGTAAAATAAATATCTCAGGACATTTAAAGACGCCACATGGACACTGTGATGGGCACAGATTAAACGATTAACTAAAACAAATATTAAACAGTTTAATCAGTAATGAAAATAACTACTTGCAGCCCTATAGCCATTGAATCTTGCAGTGAAAAAGTAAAATAGGTATTTTTAACAAAAATGTTATGTTAATCAATAGCCCAGCCATGAGGTCCCTTGAATGTGACCAATAAAATAATAATCTTAAACAGGCAACTGTCAGCAAACACAGATGAGAGACATTTCTACACCAAAAGGGGTTGGGGCTTGACAGCATTTATCAAATATGAATGTGATATTAAATGGGAAGTCCTTTCATGGTCTATGTCTACAATTATGACTTGCAGAAGTTTTTAACTAACTTAATATAACTTAATATTTAATACTACAGCTCAAGAAGCCATGAAGTCTCTTAAATCTAACCAAAACAACTGTAAAGTAATCATAAAACAAAGAGGCAACCCTTTTAGTCACAGGCAAAGTCATGTGATCTGTTTTTTCTGGTTTTAGTCGAAAGTCGAGCAGCGAATTGTTGGTAAGGCATTAAAACATGCCAAGTGAGGACACGTTTTGACCCGTGAGTGATGATGGACTGAGTGCGGTCCACAGCTGATTGACACTGACCTTCACTGAGAGGGTTAATACAAACCATTTAACCCTTCTGTTGTAGCTATCTGGTAAAGCCATGCACCAGACACGTGTTTGATGGCAGTTGTGCATATGGTGAAGGAATTAGGTACCGATCTGCTTTGAACGGTTTGGATATTCGAGAGGGGTGGGGGCCTGCATCTGTTTCTGTGTCATTATTGTTATTTACATAGATACTTACATTGAGATTACTCGTCTGTTAGCAAATTAGGGATTGGCATTTTCCATATTCGACTTCTCGCATTTAATTATTATTGAGTACTCGCAGAAAAAAAGAAAGAATAGCATTCGAAATGAACACTCAAGCGATTAACGATACGTTTAACGGGAGCAAACGGCACTTATAATTTGAGCCAGCTAATTGTTTCTGCCCTGGTAGCATCACAACAGCGCTTGATAACACTGCTAACATTAGCAAATAAGGTGGCTGTTACACATCTGTGCTTAATCTGCAAATTCAGCCTGTAATGTTAGATGAGTGATATGTGACTGAAAGCTTTATCCGCAAGTACTTGAGTACTCGTGCAAATCCCTATTAGCAATATGACTATATCATTCAACTTGTATCATTATCACTGTACTCCACAACAGACACAAGCCGCTTGTAGATTGTTGACTTCATAATATTTTACCTGCCTGATCCTGCTAGAGGAACCCAACCCTATACACCACACAATGTCAACTGGGGGTAGCACTATGTTAGAGTAATTCCTGCCAATTGCATAATATCTACTAATTGTAACTGGGTTTAGGGTATATAGCACATTAAAACAGGATACATGCTACAATTGCATTGAAGTGAAGTATTTATACATACATATAGTTGATGATGCAAAGTGTAATAAGAGCCCCTTCCTGCTGCTGTGAGGTCTTTGGAAACATTTTTGTGTAATTTCTCAAAGTGTAATTAGTAGAAAAGTTCCAGAGTTGGCGTCTGGCAGTGAATGCCTCATTTGCCATTATTGCAGAATGCTGCAGTGCATTCATTTCAAGACATTGCATACTGATATAGTTTTGGTCAAGATAACCACACACTTAAATCCTCGAATGGATGCATGCCGAACTGTGCTGTATGTGTGTTTGATACCAGCGTTAGTATGTGGGGAGTGTGTTGTAGAGCAGCGTTGTAGAGCTGCAGTGGCCATCCTCTTCTCCCTCTGTTGAACGAGGGGAGGATGGAGGGGCGGGGCGGGGCAGGGATTATATCCCGATCCCTTTGCAAAGCTCACACCAAACAATCAACCATTGGAAATAATCCTCTGAGACACACATAGTTACAAACACACACACTCAACCACACACACACACACACACACACACACACACACACAAACACACACGGATGCCTTTTAAATAACACAATATACTATACATCTATAAACTCTTCAAAGATGTAGATTTAGAGAGAATCTACACATTGAGGATGATCTGTAAAAAAAAAAGAAATTACGTAACAACCTTTAAATCGTCCCGTTTTTTTATTGTTTTGGTGATTGTTGATGTTCCATTGACAGCATATAATGGAAAACCACTCTATTGGTTTGCATGCCAGCATGAAATTATAACATTTGGGTTTAAAAGTTCCACTAACTTCTCTCTGATAGTGGAAACTCAATAGAGTAATAGTTTAGTCTATGATATGTTCAAAGAACCCAATGGGGACATCTTCAAATGTCTTTATTTGTTCAACAAAAAGTCCAAAACCCAGGGATATACAGCGTACAGTAGTACACAACAAAGACAAGTAAATCATTTAGCGTAACAAGCTGGAAACAGAGAATGTTTGTAATTTCTTTCACTACTTTTGCTTGAAAGATAACAATTGATCGATTATTAAAGTAATTGCAATTCTGATAAATTATACACAATACACAATTCAAGCTAGATCTAGTTAAAGGAAACAACAGACCACAAATGTATATCTATGGCTATAGTCTCTATTTCTAGTGGCTATAAACAAGTAAATACACACAGAATATAGTCAGTCAGGTGAAACCACATACAAATTCTTATGTTGATTTGCAGCTATTGAAACTTACTCTCTAAGCCCTTCAGGCCTCTCTCCAAAACACATTTCCATGTGCATTGAGTTGTACTAGAAGAGCGTGCGCAGGTAGAGAGGCAGGTACAGGCCTGCGACAGCCACAGACACCGGATTTTTCTCTTTTTCTTTCAGAGCATTTGGTTTATTGATTGCCGCGGGATTTAAAGATAATTTCAACAAATAAAACAAATAAATGCTTCTGAAATACATTACCTACTCTAAGTTTAAGATCACAGGCAGGCAGACAGATTGAGAGGGAGGGGGGAGTTAAAACTGTATAGCTATCTTGCATCTGTTTGATCTCTTGAACCAACATCAGCAAAAGCAATTGGCCGGAGACCTGGTTGGATCATTAATGTGGAAGAATATAAGTGCATATGAGGAAAGGGGGGGTTAACACTGACGAGCGTGTATCAGCTGGACTGAAATGAGCACTGAGGTAGTCTGTCCTGTCCTGCTCTGATGGTATGCGTACCTCTATCTCCAGCAGCCTGTGCTCATTTACAGTAATCAAAAGCCTGCTCTTCTGGGAGATTAACTCATTCTGTCACCGCGGGCCGTCATCCTGGAAACCATGACGATTAAGAAGATGTGTCGTAAGTACATGACTGCATGTGGAGACTGATTGTGATGGTTATCACGCACTGCTTAGGTCACCATCACCCATCTGATGGACTACAAGAGTAGTTACATTGAGGACCCTGATGTTTATCCAGTCGCCATTACTTTGAAAGTCCCTGTGGGAGACTCTATGTCTTGCGGCTGTATTTTGCCCATGAGGGCATGTAAATAGCTACGGCATCACTACCATACCAGCAGGAGTTCCTTCCTTGTTTCTCCGCTCCTAGCTCGACTCACTTTGAAGTCTGTCTACCTTCATCCTTGTGCTCCAGCTCTTATCACTAACATGTGTTATCAAAGCTTTCTCTCAAAAACTAGGCTTCCATTCAAAGGGGGATGCCTCCTGGTCCGCAGCCTACCTGGCAGAGTTGTAATACCTGTGTCATGTTGCTAAGAAATCCAGGATTTACTGTGCGCTGCCTGACCAAACAGTCTGAACCCGCTGACTTGAATGGCTGTGTTCTATTAGGGATACTAAGCTATAATATGATGTAACAAGCATGTCTAAGGCCAGTTGTTTCTCTCCTGGCTGCTCTCTGTTTCTCATGCCCCTATAAACTCTACTTTGGTGAGTACTTTTCAGGCAAAACATCAGAAACATAGGAGTCAAATTCAACTCCACAAGGTTGTTAATAGTTCCTTTTTTTCCATCGCTTGAACAGACCCACCAGGACAGCACAGTAAGTGCTGGTTCCTAGAGGCCAGCTACATTTCGTCTCGAGGCAGCTCTGACATTTCCTGGAGCAGGAAAATAATCTGTCTGTTGGGGAAGGAAGACAGATTTGCAGAGAAGCTTCAGCTCCTAGAGTATGTCTTTGCAGCTTATACTCCTCTGAACCCGCCCTCCTCTCAGGACACATGCTGTTGCTTCATTATTTCAGGGCCTCCATCTGACCTGCTCAGGGAACAAAGGTTTAATAACCAGCTTTCACTGGATGACAATCATCCTTGTTTTTACTCTAACACATGTAACTGGGGCTTATCTTGCCATATACATGGACATGTAAGTTCATGACATGTACGTGTCCTCACAGAATACTTGCACTGCCAAAAGTTTGGCCCCAAACTGTAAGCAAACCAATCTTTATCTTTGGCTTTTCTAACCTTGTCCATGAATTAATTGTTCAACAAAAAGCTGGGAGGATGATTTCCCCCATCCCACCCACTGTTAGACTACCATGCAACTGTATGTGGTCGACTGGCATTGACAAACAATGTTCATACTAAGAATGACATAAGGATTGAAGAGGATTTGTGAAGAGTCCAACAGTGGGACACCCTCCCCCTCATCGCCTCGGTACTCCGTTCACTGAGGATTATATCTTTGCAATTGAAACTTAGCAGGACATTCTCCGCCCCCAAAATGTGCAATTTCAGATCACACTGGCAATCCGACTTTGTGCCTGGACTGGCGGCTGTTGTGGAGACTAGAAAGGGGCAGAGATATGGCCGGAGGGAGCAGGAGATGAGAGAGTGGAGGTGAAAGCATGAGAGGAGACCAACTAGTAGGTATCATTTTTGTGCTCCTCTTGTCTACTGCACTTTGGTGAATGTGTGCAACTGTGTCCCTAGGGCTTCAGAAAATGCCATCCCCTCGGCTGATGGATTATAATCATGTCTGATTGCAGTTGTCTCACTGGGTCAGACTGTTTGTAAATGTGACATTCATACTTCTGACAAGGATTTGGCATGGGTGCGCTGCTCTCCAGATGTGTTTATATATGATTAATGTTTAGAGATGGTGGCGGTGGGGTCTCTAAAATTTTCTCTGTTGAGTAGAAATGTGTTGTGTTATTGGAGTGGACAAATTCTTACTTGCTGACTCTTTCTTTGTGTTGAAGATTATGACTCTGCCTTGGAGGAGAATGTGATTGCTTCCATAACAATCCTGTGTTAACACACAGGAGCTAAAATAGAGTTTGAGTAAAACAGTTGACAGGTTGTTTATTGGAGTGTTGGCTGTGAAAGAAAAAGCAGCGATATGACTTTAGGGTGAAAATTCGTTAAATGCACTCTGATGTATGGACTTCCAAGTATAACAATACGTTTCTTCTCTCTAAACTAAATGTTTTACACCTTTTCCACATTCAATACGACTGAACTGTATTTTTGTAGCAATGCTAGCGCTGTTGCTCTAAGCATATCAATGTCAGTTGGTCCCGCACTTCGGTCCGGACTGAAATATCTCCACCACTGCTGGAAGGGTTGGCCATAACACTTGCCATAAACATGCAGTGCCACCATGAGGTTGAAATTTTATTTTATTTTTTTAAATAACTCAACAGCTAATTGATGGATTGACATGAATTTGGGAATAGATATCCATATTGCCAAGGGAAGGAATCCTAATAACTTTAGGGATCCCTTGATGCCAGGGACACACAGGAAGCGACGTGCTGCAATAGGTCGATTTGTGTGTAAGTGTGATCCTGGCTGTTCACACCAGAGGCGCGTTTCTCCGCGCTTGTCAACAAGTGATTCTGCTCTTTTCTAATCACATGTACAGCAATCCTGTGAATTATGTGTTCATAGATAAGCAGGGGTGTGTCTATGTCTGCTTGTCTCATGCTCTCTCTGTAGACACAACTGACAAATGTGTGGAACAGATAGTACATCATTTTAAAAACTTAATCACAAACAGCAGTGATATTGTTTCTAATAAATATAATGGATGGGCAGATTTTGATATTTCATCATGAAATCAGAGGAATTAAAACTGGACAGGATTGGCAAGCATGGGATGCATATTTCATCATTAATCAGAATTAAATAATTTAATATATAATTTACAATAGATTATCAGTGTGTATGCTTGCCAGACTCACTAGCAGCTTTCGTCTAGGGCCACCAGCAGGTCATCTACATATGGGATTGACACAAAATTGTGATGTACAGCTATTTATGATTCCCAGATGAGGTAACTCCCGAGTCTTCTAGCACCACCATGCATTTGACATGTGTGGTTTTGAGTGAAATGTTTTAACAACTATTGGATAAATGAAATTTTGTAAAAACATTAATGTCCCAATCAGGATGCATTGTAATAACTTACAATGCATCCTACCCTTTCATCTCACACCATTACTAGTCAAATTATTAATTTGTTCAATACTTTAGTTAACAACCAAATACCTGCAAACAACAAATGATAGTTCACATCAACCTCAACTGTGCTTTGAGTGGGATAATTAGCAAATGTTAAACATTATACCAGCTAAACACCCAAAACACGTATTACCCATGACAGAAATAGCCTACAATCATCTAAAAAGGAAGTGTGGGGGTTTGGATTAAAGAGCAGCGGCCTTTGAGACGATCCAACCAGCTAGATCAGCTGGACCAGGCACCATGGCGCGTGCTGTGATCACTCCAGGAGCAGAGGGAAGATAGGAACCATGCATTTCCATTTCGAGGATGATTACAGATTACATCTCTTGAGATGTTTCTTCATGTCCTGTTTAGCCATTGCCTGCTGTGTTTGGGTTGCTTGCAGTCATACTGCTTAACATCCCTAAACCAAATACTCCAGGGGTATTTCTATTGTGTTAGTGAGTGGTAGTTGTCCCCAATCCTCCTTTAAGAACAAAGTCAGCCACCCACAATGGCAACAATGTGAGTCCTCACTAGCAACAGGAGAAGAATGCTTTGTTAAGATAGTCTATAAACAATCTAGTATCTTCACATATGACAAATCAGTTAAAGAGCAGCCAAGGGTGCATCATTAACCCTGAATACTGTGCAGGCCAGCATGTGCTGAACGGTGTTAAAGCATGTATTTTCTCAGCAGTAAACCAATCTCTCCAACTGTCTCTGCAGGCAGGATGACAAACCAGTCGACAGCCAACCAGTCCAACACAAACAAGGCGAAGAATAAAGAAGAAAACCAACAAGATGACAACACTGAAGTTGCGTATAAAGATGCGGGCCACTGCAGCCGTAACACCCACAGCCTGCTGCTGGGACTTACTGTTGGGGGTATGCATTGAAATTCAAGCTATATATGTATCCTGATATTATTGTGCAGCCCATCAGGTTGTGAAAGCTGGATTGTAGTTGTTAATAATAGAATACAAGTTCAGAAACAGTGACTCAGAGAAACATTTAAAAATGTTTTTCAGTTTTGGGCAATATAATTTAACACCACAAACCCCCACATTTTTTACTGAATGACTACAATTCCATTTAAGGTCAGTTTTATTGTTCAGAAAAATAGCCACAGCAAATATTAACACGCACAATCCTAGATATACAGACCCCGTGATCATTTTCCCATGAGACATCTTGTTGTTGTCTTTAGTCTGCCTCTGTAAACACTTTGGTATGTTTCTACATAGCTGTGTTCTTTGTAAAAAAAAAAAAAAGCCCTTGCAAAGTCAAGAAGTGTGTTATTTTTGTCTGTCATTTGTCACCCAGATTTAAACCCGTTTACATTGCAGTAGACGGTTCTCATTAGTCAGAGGTCTCTTACATGTCAGAAATAACACAACACTTTTTGGGGGAGAAGAGAAGTAGGCCAGTGAGTCCTCATAAAACCTATAAACTGAAGGTGTATCAATATTTGGTTCCTGAAGGCCAATACCAGTTTCTGATAGTTGGTGCTGGTATTTTCTACCAATTTTTATTTTCTTTACATCTAACCATGTACACACATAATCTACAACAATCTTCATGAAACCCAACCTAACAAGCTGCTCTTTGAGGCAAGGGGACCTTTGAATCGTTTCAGAAACCAATTTGGATACAATATGCAGAATTATTGCAGTGCATAAACAAAACCTCCCCACTCTTGTCCTCAGGTGTTGTTATGGGAGTGTTGTTTGGGATGCTGCTGCGGTACATGAAGGTGACGGACAGCTCTGCCCTCACTATGGTTTCCTTCCCTGGAGAAATCCTCATGAGGATGCTGAAGATGCTCATCCTGCCTCTAATCATCTCCAGCCTTATCACAGGTGTGCCACCTGCACAGACACATGAGCAATGTACAGTAAGCCCTGGTCAATGTGTACAGGTATTGTTCTGTTTGGATTTAAGATGACAAATAAAATCTTTTTCTTTACACTGGAAGTAATTGGTTGGTTGGTCTGTCAGGCCAACCTTTTATCAAATTTATCAAAATTGACAAAGAAATTGGCAAGAATTTACTGTTTTACCCATAGTTCTACAGTACAGGTAGAAGATAGCTCTGAAAGGAACTAATGACCAAATTCCCCTCAGCCTCAGCTGTGCTCTGAGACTAATGCTAACACGCTGTAATATTACACTAACATGCAAAACATACACTACCTGTAATTAACTATACAAGATATTAAACATGCTAAATGTTATATGCTAAATATCAACATGTTAACTGTGCACAAGTTAGCATTTGGAAGTCAGCACATTAAGAGCAGTTTTGAACCCGGCGGCTTTATAAGATAAGATATGCTTTAATGTGCCTGTAGGGAATTGTTTCTGCACTCCGTCCTGCAGTTTCACAGACAGTTGCACATACACATTCACACCTTCTGACACTGGCAGCATATTGCACTAGCCCCATAGTCAACATCCTACATAACCTGTTTGTGTTGAGAATCCCACTGCACATCGACAGGAATGTCTATGTTGTTTATAATAGTTCAGCAGGTAAGAGCTGGAATGTGAGTTGGATCAGACACTATTTTCTGTTCCTGTCAGATAATACACTTAGATTTACTGAAGTATGTTTTTTATCACCCATAACTTTTACTGCAGTCTGTACCAGACGAGCAGTCTCGTCACCATACCAGGCGATTGTCAAAGCAGTGCTGCGCTGCCAGAAGTGTCAGTGGCATTCCCAGTACTTGGTGTGTGTATATGGTGAGTCCAAACACAGATCGTCATCTGTTTCTTTCAGGGCTGGCTGGTCTAGACGCCCGCTCTAGTGGCAGGATGGGTAGTAGAGCCATGGTTTACTACATGTCCACCACTGTAATCGCTGCAATCCTCGGGGTCATACTGGTGTTGGGAATCCACCCGGGGAACCCCAAACTAAGGGGAGGCTCTTCGAGCTCAGCCCCCAAGAACCAGGAGGTCAACAGTCTGGATGCCTTCCTCGACCTGATCAGAAACCTCTTTCCTGAGAACCTGGTGCAGTCCTGCTTCCAACAGGTAGTCTCAACATCTGAAACATATGTATTTGGAACTGTTATATTGATCTGGTTCTTCATTTGTGCACATTTTGGGGTTGTATGCATCACAATACAAATATAACAAACATTGCATAAAAAGCAGAAAGGGCAAATTGCAGGTCTTTAATAGAATGAGCTATTTGTCATTGTTTTCCGTTCTTGTTGTGTCAAGCTATAAATCCAGTAGGGTAATGAAATCTGCATCATTGCAGCTTAAGGTGATGCTACCTAACCTACACTGAAAAACAGCTTTACTTGAAAGTATTTCAGCTATTAGTTTTAATGTAAACTTCACGTGCCCAGGAAAATGGAAATTTGAGCATCTACAATTCCATGATTACTAAACTTTGTGCTGATGAAGATCATGTGGTGTGATATCAAGCAGTGATGCCAACCGGTGTATGCCCCTAGATGAAGCTACAGTGATGTGAGATGAATATTGGTATAGGAAATGCATCTTGTGATGGACCAGAGTAGTGCTAGTAGTAGTGCTTTGTGGTATTGGTTCACAAGCAAAACAATTCTAAAGCTCTAAACTGCCACTGAATGGACCTTGAGGTGAGATTGGTTCATCAAAAATTATAATCCAAATTCTAATATTTTAAAGTTTCTTAGCATTAGCATTGTTAGCATTAAACATTGGTAAGACCCCTTTATGTGAACCCTGAAAAAGCCAAAGTTGAAGTCATTAGTCTGTACAAGGTATTAAGTGAGCAGTCTGACAGAATGAAAGAACTACAGAGAGCTGTTAACGACCGGTGCAATTCTCTAGAGATTCTGGTTGTCCTCCAAACTCCATGCACAAGGTTTTTACTGCATGTGTCAGGGGTGCATGAAAGCATGATTTGACTCAAAGGGTTTAGGCTACAAAAGGACTAAAAGGCCAAGGATTCCTTCTGTCCGTGCATAGTCCTAGAGGCGTAACCTTTGAAGTCTAATTATCCACTTAAAGGTTAAGTTTGAATTAATGCAAATACAAGCAAAGCTCTGCGAATAAAATGAAAAATCTGAAACTGTCTGCATGTATATACTATATAAATAAGATTGTAATTTCCCATCTGCACACCCTGTTAGAGTAATGGTCTGTTGGCTAATGGTGGACATGACGAGTCAGCAGACTACTGCTGTTCATCCCAGCTGATCATTTTTAACTGATAATCCTGGTCTCAATCATGATGCGACATTTGCCTTCTTCTGTCCAAATCCTTTTTTTTTTTTTACCCACTTCTCTCTGTTATGCGTGTGTGTCTGAATGATTAGAAGTAGTTGTCTGTGTTGGACTGGGTGAGGGTCATGCCTTCTGTCACTGTTAATCTCTTTACATCTGTAACCCTGCCTCCTTACTTACCACAGTTAGGCATCTGCTGGTGGACAGGGAGCACTGCTGAGCACCAGCTTATAGACTCCTGCTCTAACAACTTCTCTCTGCGGTATTCTCAGTTTTTTCCCTTTCTGCACATCACTCTCTTTTCTGTCCACATCTCTGTTTTACTGCTTCTTTTGTTTGCACTCATCAGGGATTCATTGAAGCCATAAAAGGCATAATTGCTTTTGCAGGAAGGGACTCGTCCTTCCCCTTTCAACCTTCTCATCTCCTTTTTCTTTCCCTTTGTTGTCTTTATGTGAGAATCTCTTGTTTTGCCTTTTCTATAAACACAAATCTGAATTTATTGCCCCTCAGCCAAGCTTTTGTGTGCTCACACACAGCATGACTTACACAATCAGGGTTTTGCTGTGATGTCAGTTCAATTGTAAGCTGAACCCCCTGATCAATCTGAATGTCATTCTGTCCTCCCTCCAGGTTCAGACGGTGCTGAAAAAGGTGTCAGTTGCAGCACCAAACCAAACTGAGCCCATCTTAGTGAACAAGAAGAAACTGGAATACAAATGGGGCATGAACGTCCTCGGTGAGTTGATGACCGAGCTGATTATTTGTTGCTTTACATCAAGATCTATCGTACTTTATTGATGTTGCATTTTCCAGTGACACACTGCTTTGTGTCTTCCTCAAGGCTTGATTGGCTTCTTCATCACCTTTGGGATCTGCATGGGCAGGATGGGCGAGAGAGGGAAGGTCATGTGCGACTTCTTCAACGTCCTCAACGAGATTATAATGACGATGGTCTCCATGATCATGTGGTCAGTGTCTTGTTTTCCTCTGCGTGTATTTGTGAGTTTGCAAGCGTGCGCAACATGTGTCTCTGTTTTTGCTCATGTGGGCCAACGGCTGCATTGCTTTGACATTCTGGAGATACCACACACAGAGTGTCAGTGACAGTGATGGATAAGGCGAAGATTGTGTACGTGAGACAAATTGTGGGAATGAGCAACAGTGTCGGACGTCAAAGACTGAGTAGGAGAGAATGGAAGAGGAAAAGGGAGAAAGTGTGTTAGTGAAGGACACGGACAGATGGAAAGAGAAAGAGAGAGGGTTTCCCTGGCACATGCTGGAGTCTGTGGTATGCTGGAGAGTAGCAGGAGCCGGGGCCCGGAACAATGTTGTGGGCTCCCAGGGGAGCCGAGGTGGAAGATATCCAAAATGTAATGGATCCACCGACGGCAGAGGAGCCACTTGGCAGCAGAGCAGAAAGCAGATGCGGGTGGGAGGGACAGCGGGACGTGGAAAGATGCGTGTGAGAGCATGTCTTCAGAGAGCAGGGCACGCCTTGAGGCTTCGCAGGACCCCAGCTAGTCAGAGAGACACAGAAAACAGAGTATAGTGGCACTCAGAGCAGGGATGGGAAGGGAGGGGAAGGGGGGAGCTGGGTAGGCGGTTGGAAGACAAACAGCAGGATGCTTGTCTTCCAGCTCTCCTAGGCCATCTACATGTGCAGCTGGACACCAAAGGAATTGTGTCCTTGTTCGTATCACTCACACAGTATAAACAGATTACTCATGGGCCTATAGAGCCAGCCAAACACGGAGTCCAGTGTATACAAAAACACGTATCATACAAGGAACACATCCATCAAATCATATACGTGGCGTGTTCCACCAAACAACTGTCACTGAATGCCAGGCTCAGGGTTCAGCAGGCAGCTGACCTGGGAGAGCAGGCCGCTGTCGTGATGGGACCTGCTTTGACTCGGACCGGAGGATGGCTTAAAGTGAACACCGCTTTAATTCATACGTCCCACAGCGGTCTGTATTCATCAGCAGGAACAACTGCACTCCAAAGCTAGAAACTAGAGATCCAAGAATGTGTCATCTCCTCTCGTGGTTGAAAACTGCTCCTTTGAAAGTAAATGAAGATTGATTAGGTGTTTGCCTGACATTTCAAAGACAAAATTGAAATAATGAATTGTTTTTGTTTTTTTTGGCTTGCATCCATGTTCCAGGTAACACGCTTTGTACAGTTGTAATTATTTTCTTTTCTTTCATGTTTGATTCATTTTCTTTTCTTTCTCAGAGCCTCAGGTGATATTTTCAAATACCTTGTTTGGTAACCAAAACATATTTTACTTTACAACAAATCTTTGCATAAGGGAAAGTCAGTTAAAAGACAGATGATTTAGTAAGTCTTTATCTCTACCTCAATGACAAGACGAAGGTTAGGTTAATTTTAAATACATTAGAGCTGCAACAACTGGTTGATTAATTGATCAACAGAAACTGATACATGAAAAAAAACCGACTAACATTATCTCTTTTTTTCAACACATTGGCGGAGGTAAGCTTCCATTAGTTACAGGCCTAAAATACATCATGTTTTTGTTCCTCAAGAATCATATGAGGCAAGGCAATGTGATTTTATACCACAATAAATACATCAGCATATAAAAGAGTGAGAAATCATTTACAAATGATTAAAAAAACAAAAAATAAATATATATTGATTGATGCTCTGGCCTGATGCAATGATCAAAAGAAAGAAAAATATAAATATAAGTATATAGACATACACTAATTCGGCTTTAAAAAGGTCATAAAGATAATAGAAAGTAAACCAGTCAATTCCATTTCAACTCTGTCTTTCTGACTCTGTGTTCAGGTACTCTCCTGTTGGCATTGCCTCTCTGATTGCGGGGAAGATTGCGGCCATCGGAGACCTGGAGGTGGTGGCCAGGCAGCTGGGTATGTACATGGTGACCGTCATCGTGGGCCTGGTGATCCACGGCGGCTTGATCCTACCTGCTATTTTCTTTGTCATCACAAGAAAAAACCCCTTCACTTTCTACTCTGGAATATTCCAGGCTTGGATCACTGCTCTGGGCACCGCTAGCAGGTACGACAGCCTGCAGGAAGTGTGTGTGTGTGTGTGTGTGTGTGTGTGTGTGTGTGTGTGTGTGTGTGTGTGTTTGTGTGTGTGTAGTGGTTCTGTGTTTGGGCATGTGTTAACACATGTGTGTCACATGTTTCCTTTACAACATCTATTCCTCAAGCAGCTGCTGTAGTTACTATGATTGATCGGTGTAGCCTGCTACTCTCTTTCTAGCTATTTGGGTTAAATCTGAAAGGGCTAAAGGCAAAATTCTGTTTTTACGCGAATGAGCTCACAAATCAGGACAGTAGAGCCAAATGTGTGTAAGCACAGGCTATCATGGACAAGTCCATGTCAGACAGATCCTGCGTTGTAAATGTCTAAGCCTTTGGATTAGTAGTCACCAGCCAAACTGGCCCCACTGTATCCTGCCTGGTTTGGCTTGGCTCGGCCTGTCTGGGATTCTGCATTGCTGCTGAAACCAACTGTCATTTTGGCACATTACTGAGGCTTTAGTGAATATGGGTAATCCTATCATCATTTTCTCTAATTATATTATGACCCGAGCTTAGCAGGGCCGGGAATCAAATTCCTTTAATTCACATGTCGGAGGATTGCAACAGTGGCCGACACCAGCTGTTAGGAGGAGGCTGTCAGCCGACTCAAATTTCTACTGATTTCTTTTTTCTTTACCCCCTCACCTCTGCACTTTTGTCTTTCACCACCTGTCTACCTATTTTATGTCCTTCAGCAGACACTTTGCTCATGCTCTTTGTACATCTGCACCTTTGTTCTTCTAAATTGCCATCTTGTGGGGCCTTCTTCTCTCAGTGCAGGGACGTTACCTGTCACTTTCCGCTGCCTGGAGGAAAATCTGAAGATTGATAAGCGTGTGACTCGCTTCGTGCTGCCCATTGGTGCCACCATTAATATGGACGGCACTGCACTGTATGAGGCAGTGGCAGCCATCTTTATCGCCCAGATGAATGATATCACGCTGGATGCCGGGCAGATTATCACCGTCAGGTAAGGCACATGGTGGATGGCCTCTGCACACATGCGTTGTGATGTTACCTTACTGCATAGTTTCATAAAAGTGCACCATAAATAAGTGGTTCCAGAATCTATGAATATTTACATGCAAACTTATGTTGTTTATTTTCCCATTATTGGCTCCTAAACTAGTTTTGATGTCACACAATTATCTCATACATACAGTGTGTAAAACTGAGATTTAAGGTGAGCACAGAGAAACCTTCCTACTTCAGCAGATGATTGTGAAAACATCCTTCTAGTGCCAAACTCTGCACATACATCATTCTGCACAGTGAAGCTCAAACATCAAAGTGAAGGAACTGTTAGCAAAACACATTTTTGAATGGAGGAGGACTTAAAGTTGTTCAGAAGTTTTATTAACATCTACTGAGTGGCTCTAAGCTGAAGGAGGCAGATGGCCACCTACTTTAAGTTGGGGTGTGTTTCATGTTTCCTTGCCACTGTCACCAAGTGCTTGATCATGGTAAGAATTGTTGGGTCTCTGTAAATAATTTTATAAGGAGTATGTTCTCTATAAATGAAAAGTGTCCTGAGATAAACTCTGTTATGGATTGGCGCAATACCAATAAAATTGAATTAAACTTTAAATGAATTTAAAGGACCACATGCTGTGTTCTAAATTGTAATGCCACCCTAACTGTAAATACTCTGTAAAAGTGAGAAAATAAGACTGTAAACAGGCAGCGGCAGAGATTAGCGTCAGCCTAAACTTCTGCATGAATGCAGTTAGAAAGTAGTGAGGTATTCATTGCTCATTTCTGAGGTTTTAGCGAAACATTTATGTCTGATTGGAAACAGTCTACTTGGATCGGACTCAGCCTGTTGTGGCCACGGGTTGCATATGATGCTCAGCACTTTGAAGTTGTTTATTTTCATCAACGGCTGTTTTCCACCAAATTCCAAAATTGAATCGTGAAAAGTTCTGTATTACAGTTGTATCATGTGTGGTGAAATTGTTCTAAAATAAGATCCATATGTGGTGTGTAAATCTCTTGGACGTTCCACTTAATCTCCCACTCACTGTGGGTTGATAATTAGCGCTACAGTTGTTGGAAAACGATTAAGATGTAAAGCAGAGCTCTGAGATCAGACAAACAGCGTCATGCAGTAAACATCACAGTTTAGAACAGTGTCCAAACTGGCCTGCAGTCACATCTGGGACCAACATGAACTGATAATTCCTCTAATTGCAGACATTTCATGACAAGGAACATTCTTTTGAGTATTAAAGATTTAAGTCTTAAAAGAAGTCAGAAAACATTAAGAGATTTTGTTTTGTTGTGGATGGAAGAACGGCTGTAAACAACAAACTTCTTTCTTCTTCAGATGCCAATTTCATACAAAGGTTTGTGCGTATGATGTGGTCAAATTAACACATGTTAATACCAGGTTGACCTGGTTCTGCAACTGTAAACCGCAAAATTATACCACATCTGTGAAAACCACAAATCCGTGATTTAAACAAGGTTGGCAACCTTGAGAGATGTCAAGTCACATTCTGCAATGCGGTTTCCTTCTCCACAGTCTGACAACAAAGCAAAATTTTACAGTGCCAGTCGTCTTTTTTTTAATCAAGCAAATTCTCCGTTTATATTCCAGAGTGGAGATGTGTTAAACACATTTGCAGTGGTGTGAAAGTCTCTGGTTTGCCCTTGGTCTCTCTTATTTGGATTATAAACACAAACTACTGACAACTAATTTCCTCTCACGCAGCCATGGAACATATGCATGTCTGCTTTCTGTTTTCTTTGTGGTGTGTTCAAGTGCAACATGTAATGAAAAGATGTTAGGCGGTGTAAAAGTTTGAGTAAACCTTTGTTAGTGTTACTTGTCTAAAGTGGAGTACAATGTCTATCAGTTTTTCCTTGCTGAAAATGGGTGTGTGTGTCTTCTTTTTCCTTTTCCAGTATGACTGCCACCCTGGCCAGTGTTGGAGCTGCCAGTATTCCCAGTGCTGGACTGGTTACCATGCTGCTGATCCTTACAGCTGTGGGCCTACCTACTCAGGATATCAGTCTGCTCATCGCTGTCGACTGGCTGCTGTGAGTCAGGTGTCTGATAGGTGGAGAGTGTATTTTGTGAGAGGGGTTGTTAAGATATTGGTGATATCGGTGTATTCAGCTCTTGGTGGCTCTCATCTATTTCACCCGCTGACACTGATACTGTTTATCCACCCAGTGACAGAATGCGTACCTCCATCAATGTGGTGGGCGACTCATTCGGTGCTGGAATCGTGGACCACTTGTCGAAGGATGAACTTGCCGAACTTGACGCGGCAGATATGCAAATTCTCCCGCCGGAGGAGGAGCTTGATTTCATCCCTCCGCCCCCAATCCTTACAGAGATGGACCTGGTCGACCCTTTCAAACCACCCGAGCTGCCACCTCGCTCCCCTCGCCCACCCAAACAAAACCACCATGGTCACGTTCTCTCCCAGTCCTCTGTCACTTACTCACCGTCCCGCTCTATCCGATCTCCATCACCTCGCTCCATCCGCTCTCCCTCTCCGCGCTCCGTCTGCTCCCATTCCCCTCGACCTTTCCGTACTCATTCACCATGCCTCCTCCGCAGGACGGAGCCGGGCTACTGCGCCCTGCCCAGCCATGATAACCAGGTATCTACCCACTGCTGCTTCTTCTGGCTCTAATGCTACATAATACATGTTCCTCTATGATAGAACTACTGTAAAATTGGAATGAAGAGACACACCAGGTTTATGGAGATTGAAGATTGGCCTGATGGTCAACTTATCAGTTAAGTTAGGAGGAGACATACATCATCCATGTATCTTCAGGGCATTCAGCTGTAAGATGCAGTGTGTTGAGTAAGAAAACACTGTGGGTTTCAAAGGTCACCTATTTCTAAGTCTACATTTCAAGACAATGTATTTGGCTGAATCAACACTGTCACCAACACTGTCATGTCAAGGACTTACTCAATGGATTCACATTAGACTGCGGACCCCCAGTATGAGAAGATTTTATCTTAAGAAATCCCCTCTGAGAAACTTTTTATTTGAAGTCTTCATAGTCAATCAAAGATCAATCTAGGATCACTGTAAATCCTAGATTGAATCAAAATGTGATTCCAGCTTTCAAAAAATGTGATAAAAATGTATTTTTCTTTTTGCTGGGGACCCACAAAAGGACCCCTGTTGGTCCCCAGACCCCAGTTTGAAAACCACTGCTCTTGCACCTTAGCATAGCTCCTTCGAGGGAGAAAATAACAAAAGTGTGGTTTCTCACCTGAGATAGTTCCACAAACAAATAATGACTAATTGAGCTTTATTAAATATATACTTTAAATTACTATCGCTTAGCATGCAGTGTCTAATAGGGATACATGGATGATTTAGTTCTATGTTCTCAATTAAAATGATCAAAGCACGATATCTCCAAACCCTGGTGTATTCCTTCAACATTTAGTATGTATACATGTGTAAAATTCACCTTTCTTTAGTCAATACAAGCCACATGGTGTGCATGTTCTCATCCTGTCTCTTTGCCCTCTCAGATTCCCACGCTGCCTCACTCCTACCGAGAGAGAGACAGGGAACGGGAGAGGCTGAGGCGAGAGAGTGAAACAGAGGAGGAGGAGGAGAGAGAGAGGGTTCTGGGTGAAGTAAGCGATGGTGAGGAGAGCGATGACACTGCTTATGATCGGAGGCACGTCCTCCCACCGCCCGACTTGCCGTGATTGGATTTTAGCACAGAAAATCTTCCTTGTCGATTAGTTTCCGTTGTACGACGGCTTTCCCCACTTTAGTGCACAGCTCCACAGGGTTCCAGTGGAGCTTCACAGTGGATTTCTGGCTGGTTACATTTCTACTTCTTAGATGTATTTTAAATTCACTGCTCTTGATTAACAGAACTGTTGAATAAGTGATTGATACGTTTACTTAGAGCTTAATATACATAGATATTAAATTGTTGCGATGGCAGGTCTGAGACTTTTGCTCTTTGGTTTCCTGCGAGAGCTTAAATGGAGAGTTTTTTCCCTTGTTTACTCATTTCCTTTTTATAACATTCTGTCTTTATTTGTCATTTCTCAACTAAATTTAAAATACTTCTGTATGTCTGAACTTCCTTCAGTTTGTCTGATGAGGAGAAAATCTCCTCTTGATAAAGAAAAGTAGCTTGGTGTCAAGGCCACCTTTTTTACCAGCCTTTTAACACACAACCACAAGTTATTAGTTGATCCTTTACCCTCAACCCTTTCTACTTATATTTTCCTAGCAGGAGGGGAAAAGTATTCACAATAGTTTCACATTTAGAAATATGCTTATTCGTTTTCTTGCAGAAAGTTAGATGAGAAACTTGTGTGTTACAGTAAAGGTAACAGTTTGTCACGTTACAGCCCGTTTGTTTAATTGATACAAAAACCAGCGTGATGAGGACAATTTGTCAGTTAATAGGATGTGATGTGTTGGGCTATTTCTTGGTTACTTCGGTTTTTGTGTGAATTAAACAAGCAAAATACACCATGTTAACCGGTGAGTGCTGGTTGGCGGATTTTGTTACCTTTGGGCCGAGCCAGGCTAGCTGTTTCCCCCTGTTTCAAGTCTTAACTCGAAAGAGATAGTGTTCTTCTCATTTGACTCTTGGAAAGAAAGCCGATAAACGTATTTTCCCGAAATGTCAAACCATTCCTTTAAATGACCTCAAAAACACCAACAGGTTCAGGTAAAAAAACTAATATACAACCAGCAGACATTATTTTATAATATTACAAAACTGTTAAATAAGTGATTGATATGTTTACTTAGAGCTTAATATACATAGATATTAAAATGATGGCAGGCCTGAGACTTTTGCTCTTTGGTTTCCTGCGAAAGAGAGCTTAAATGGAGAGTTTTTTCCCTTGTTTACTCATTTCATTACAGAAAGTCTGCTCTTGATAAAGAAAAGTAGCTTGGTGTCAAGGCCACCTTTTAACCAGCCTTTTAACGCACAACCACAAGTTATAAGTTGATCCTTTACCTCAACTCTTTCTACTTATATTTTCATGGCAGTAGGGGAAAAGTTTCACATTTAGAAACACGCTTATTCTTTTTTTTTGCTGAGAGATGAGAAACTGGATGTTACAGTAAAGCTCACTGTTTGCCACATTATAGCTTGTTTGTTTAATTGATACAAAAAACAGTGTGATAAGGACAATTTGATGTTTAATAGGATGTGATGTGCAGGGCTATTTTCATTACAGAGAAATAGTATAGCATATAAATGTCTGTAAAACCACAACTTATTGTATTTACACCTCGATTCTTTGTGTGAATTAAACAAGCAAAATACACCATGTTAACCAGTGAGTGCTGGTTGGCAGATTTTGTTACCTTTGGGCCTAGCCAGGCTAGCGGTTTCCCCTGTTTCAAGTCTTAACTCGAAAGAGATAGTGTTCTTCTCATTTGACTCTTGGAAAGAAAGCCGATAAGCGTATTTTCCCAAAATGTCAAACCATTCCTTAAATGACCTCAAAAACACCAACAGGTTCAGGTAAAAAAACTAATATACAACCAGCAGACATTATTTTATAATTAACAGAACTGTTAAATAAGTGATTGATGTGTTTACTTAGAGCTTAATATACATAGATATTAAAATGATGGCAGGCCTGAGACTTTTGTTCTTTGGTTTCCTGCGAAAGAGAGCTTAAATGGAGAGTTTTTTCCCTTGTTTACTCATTTCATTACAGAAAGTCTGCTCTTGATAAAGAAAAGTAGCTTGGTGTCAAGGCCACCTTTTAACCAGCCTTTTAACGCACAACCACAAGTTATAAGTTGATCCTTTACCTCAACTCTTTCTACTTATATTTTCATGGCAGTAGAGGAAAAGTTTCACATTTAGAAACACGCTTATTCCTTTTTTTTGCCGAGAGTTAGATGAGAAACTGGATGTTACAGTAAAGCTCACTGTTTGCCACATTATAGCTTGTTTGTTTAATTGATACAAAAAGCAGTGTGTTACCTTTGGGCCGAGCCAGGCTAGCTGTTTCCCCCTGTTTCAAGGCTTAACTCGAAAGGGATAGTGTTCTTCTCATTTGACTCTTGGAAAGAAAGCTGATAAGCGTATTTCCCAAAATGTAAAACCATTCCTTTAAATGACCTCAAAAGCACAAACAGGTTAATGTAAAAAAACATATGTACAACGAGCAGACATTATTTTTATAATTCTCTACCTTCTTGCATCTCTTGACATTTTCACCCTTGGTGCTCTTCTCGCACATCACCTCATTTTCCTCCAACAGCGGTCACTCTTTATGTTAATATTGTCTATATTATCTATGGTTTGTATTTTCTCGTTGTGGTCTGATGTCTGAAATGATGAGCAATAGGCAAGATGGTGTTTTGATTTTGTGGTATGTTTAAATTTACTAGTCCTTGATTGCTGTAAAATAACTCCATCAATCTCTTCTTCCCCACTCAATTGCCTTTCATTTTAAATATAAGTTCATCGACTGCCTCCCTACATCCTTAGGTCTTCAATCAGATTCACAGGTCCAGGTCATGTGTATATTGTATGTAATAAAATCTTAGAGATTTATTTCAAATAACTGCAATTCTTTTGTGTTTTCTCTGATCCTTAAGTAACTTGTACAATCTGCGGAGGGATTTGCAGTCGAAAGGGGACACACGTCAGTGTTTGGTGACTAAAGACTCAGGAAAAATCCTGCAGACAAAGATATTACTGGATGGAAAAGTTGCAACAGACACACAGACAAAATGCACACGTTACACACAAGGCTGCGCTTACACATTGATGAGACAAAGAGATACTAACATGCTTAATCCTCTCAAAGAAGAGTTAGAGATGGGAAAGGCATGGGAGAGGAATCGAAGGGCGGCAGATGGCCAGAAAGACGTCAATCCTTTTCATTCTTCCCAGACAGCATAAGGGCACTGTGAGTAATTGCAAGCAGGACTGACGTTAGTTTCGGGTCCCTGCACGTCATAGGGGAGAGTCGAGTTAGGTAAAAGGGAAAAGGTGAAATGATGCAGGTCGGTGCTCAGCAGAAATTCACAAATCTGACAGCGTATCGAGGTTTGTTTGAAAATGTGTCTAAATCTAGTTAGTGATGATTGAGTCGACGTTCTGGCTGCTGGTGTCTGAAATGAAACACTAATCTGTCCTGTAGCATGAGAGAGAGCTGCCCCTCCAACACATGACGTGAGGATATCACACCATCTGAGGCGACGGAGGGGTCAGCAATTTAATCACAGCTATCATCATCGAGAAGACAGAGTGTGTGTGTGTGTGTGTGTGGGGGGGGGTTAGGAGGAGCATCATCTGCTCCAAAACACAGCCCTTTTCTTTTCTTTGGCTCAACTCAGACATACTCTTGAGTATTTGGTTGTTATCGCTGCTGACAAATGTAAAGCTGACACCAAAAGTGTTGTTAGAAAGTTTGATCCCTGTAACTGGACTCGCTGAGGATTCAAACTAAGTCACAGATAAACACAAAACTGATGGTGGTATAAAGAAACTTAATTTACTTTGATTTTTTGGTTGGATTTCTAATAGAAATAACAGCAATACATTAAAAACATTCATAAAAATGTCTACGGCTAAAGTTTTTGTTGATAAACAATAGGTGCTAAAAAAGGTATACATTTTAGTTATATCAATTGAAATATATATTAAATAAGAGTTTCTGAAGATTTAGGTAAAATCAGATTAAAATCAATAGGGCTGCAACAAACAATTTCCTTTATCGATGAATCTGTTATTTTATTGATTTATCATTAAATATCTGAAAAAAAAGGAAAAATGTCCATGGACACGAACTCCATAATGCAGAAATATACAATTTTAAAAGATATAAAAATGTAGAAAAGCAGCAAATCCTCAGATTGGAGAATATTATCACAATATTATCAAAATAGTTGGCTTTTTTATTATGTTATTGATTTATAACTAATTGTTTTGCTTTATAATATAAGTGAAATTTTGATGATTGACTGGTGGAAAACTGAAATTGTAAATAAGACAACTAAGCGTAATGTTTGCCACATGATGATAACTGCAAAAGTAGCCATGGATCACATTACCTGGGAAACGACTTACCAAATAACACGCTGTATGTAGTATTGGCCTGATGCCAAATACCTGATGCAATACCAGCTTGATATAATAAGTGTATAATAAATTATTGAATTTTGTGGACTTGTGTTTAACCCATTCCGAAATAGTGTGTGTCATTTTTTCCTCACTGCCCCATAAACTAAACCATGTCTTTGTTTTGGGTAACATGGAATGAAAATAAGTCATCTGGATCATATGAACACAATCATTTCAAGAGGAAAAATGTTGCGTTTGGTTACTCCAAAGTCTGTTATGTCATATTACTGTAAATCAAACCCAGTGGCAGCAGGAGGGAGACAGATGTCCTGGTTTGTGCAGTGGTTTTAAAACACAGTCTGACATCTAGAGGCAGGATCACTCATCACATGAAGCAGAGGGCAACAGACGTAGCCTATACCACACAATCTGTACCCACTCGTCTGTGACTTTTTCAGAGCTTTTCTGACCATAATACTGTATACAGGAACTGCAGTATCCAGAATGCACCACCCTCTAATAATACTGTATACACGCCTCTTGATGCTTTTAAAATGTTTAGATTTGAGCACACACATTCACATTCATTCACATCCTCCCTGAGTCGCTGCATAGGGAGTCATGTGAAAGGAATTCAGAAATCCACGACATGAGTGATTAAATATGATCTTTATTAAATAAAGTGAGACATATATAAATATATGTGTATATATACATCTGTCCTTAGAATATGTGCATGTCACACTACGTTCACACAGTCAAAACAACTTAGAAAAGTATGTTATCATCTTATCATCACATTTTGTAAAGATAAAACTATATACAAAATCCTTTTTTTTTGAGAATTAGAAATTTAACTAACCTTTAGGCTTGAAAATGCTCCTCAATGGCTGCAGTCAGCTTGAATTTGTGTAACCTACAATGGTGACAAGAATTGATTAAAAAAATCTCCCTAAAAACACTCAAATATAACAAATTTCTCTGTTGATTATCCATATTGTCAGTATCCATCAAATACCTTGGGGTTTTTACAAAATATGTCTAGATACATATCTTTCACATTGTGCTACTGACCTCCTGCTGGAATTATGAAACACACAACCCATTGAATGAAACACCTGGCCAAAAATCTTTGTCTGCAACTCTAGAGATATTAAATGGTGGCTGTCTCAATAGAAACCTTATAGTGGTTGACAAATCTGTATCGTCTCTTTTTACCGTGATATATTCTGTTAGGAACATAATGTGCATACAGATGGAGGCAGGAGGATTGCATCACAGAACTGGTCTAAAAATTAGACTTTCCATGAACAGTTCAAGGACTTCTGCAGTAAAATCTTGTCACAATTGGAATTTGCTGCAACACTTCAGTCGGAGACAAATACATCAAAGAATATGCCATTTATAGCAAATAGTTACACAGTTTGGCAATAAAAAAAGTCTCTGCCCATTGAAGGAGCTCTCACAGAATCCTCAGTGAGGACTCTGATGGAAGAACTAATCCAATAAACACATACATGAACATGAATTTGTAGTGAAATCAGAAATATGAAAAACATAACACATAAGGAGCAGGTATGGGTGGTAAAGGCATATTAAATTAACAGAGAAGTGTGAGAAGCTGGCTGGGCTGCAGCTCTGCATGAATCTGATTCGACACTGATAGTCAGCTGGTAGTCAAACAGCTGTTGAATGAGCCAGTAGTATACGCTCCATTCAAGCTGACCACGGCTGCTTTCTCCATTAAGAGGAAACTACAAACCATTTATAGCCACCTTTCAAACCTACAGATGGCGAACATTTGATACTCAAAAGACAAGGGTTCGATATCACTTTAATCTAGTCAATTTCTAATACCACAAATCACAGATTTGCCTCGTGGGGCTTTACAGTCTGCAAACAACACCTTCTATCCTCAGACCCTTGCTTTGGATAAGAAAAACTTCCCAAAGAGTTTAAAACATTTACAGTGGTGTCGCCTCAGACTGTCAGAGGACTTTGCTTCAGTCACAGGGCTCTGTACTTTGGTCTCACCACTGGGACAGAAATGTCAGCTGGCCCTGAGCTATACCGTCTCTGACCTGATATCAACTTTCTCCATACATGTTTTCCAGGCTGTATCTGTTACACTATGTAGCTATGTAACATACAAACTGACTCTGGAGCAACTACATGAACATGTCTGCACCACCCCCAGTCGATGAGCGATCTCTTTGTTGCCCGCGTCAGCACATGATCACAGCGACACATTTCTGCCATAACTCTGACAAGTGAAGGAAATCAACACCTGCAACAATCACATTTAGTTTTAACAGCATGCAACACTTCAGTCATTTTCATTGTCACATTACAACACTGACATCGGCAAACAGTCATTACAGGGATTATACAAATGCTGTATGTCTCTGGAATATCTGTCTCTGTATTGCTGGTGGATCATCCATTCTCTTTGTTGTTTATATTGAGTTTTGATGTCAATGTTGCCCCAGTTTGTGCCTCTCGTTTCTCCTTTTTACATTTGAGTAAGATGAGCAAAAATGTTATTCAAAGATTCCTCTATTTCTATTTGCAGCACAGTAAAGAAGATTTTTTAACCTGTTTTCCCCTTTTATTTTGCCAAACAAAGATGGTGGCTGGAACCTCACTTGGTAATACAATCTGTTATTTATCATTTTATAATAATTTTCTAGGAAGTTTCATTGAAATGTATATATAGTTTGGTATTACTTATAGGGAGATAGAGTGTTGAACTGGCACACTTCCAGCAAATGAATTCCAATAGTGTAACCTAGACTCTCTGTGCTCAGCGTCTCAACTGAACGTGAGAATATGTAGGCAAGCATATAAGTTTACCTACAGGGAGAATAAAGTTTGTAATTTAAACTGATTATTAGTATCAATTTGAATAGTAATTTCCAGGAAACTTTCCTCAAAATAATTAAGTAAATGGAAATTATGGACCCATAAAATGAAGCGTTAGCTGAAACTTTTATTACGCATTACTTTGTCTATATTAATCTTATTTTTGCCCAAAACGAGCAAGAAGGCACAAAATGTCATTTCTTGCTGCCATATTTCTGTGTTTTAAAGGTACAGTGTGTAGGATTTAGTGGCATCTAGTGGTGAAATTACAGATCGTAAACCAGCTGTGTGACCAGACGTGTGAACGAGAACAGGCCGCCAGATGTGTAGGAGACAGTGGCTGCGAAAGGCCCTATCTACCGCCAGGGTTTGTCTATTCTGGGCTACTGTTCGACATGGTGGACTCCATTGACGGCATCTGTAGATAAGAACGGCTCATTCTTATGTAACGAAAACACAATGATTCTCATATTCAGGTGATTATGCACTAATGGAAACATAGTTATGAATATTATATTCCATTTGTGCCAGTAAATCCTCCTAAATGTTACACACTGGACCAGTCACAGCATAGGAAAGTAGAAATTAACTTTATTGTGCAACAGATGGAGTATGTTTTATTTGAGCTGGAGAGACAATTCTTTGAGGAATCTAGAAATGTCTTTAATATAACAGTGAGTGGACCTGCAGGGTTTTTCAGATGGATTCACTTTTATTTATTTATTGAGAAAAACAGTCAAATATAATTATGCAAAAGCCTCAAATGTAGAAACCATGATCACATGAGAGGCACATATTAGGGCGTATGTCAGTGAGTGTAAGTCTTTGTGTATATAGCATACTGTCTGCCATCCACAGTGTCTTTCCATCATGGTACTTTCCTTTTCTCGATGAGAGGCGGTGTTTAGTGTTAATCTAAAAAACAGTCCGTCCTGCTCTGTTAAACCTGAGTGACCAGAGGTTCTTTGAGGAAGAAGTTTATTCCTCTTTGATCACCAGCAGCCTGTCCGGCACAAAGCCCTGCCAGGAGAGTCCCATTGAGCGGAGGGCAGATACCCGTGCTGTTGTGCCCGTACAGAGGTGCATAATCTCCCATGTATTCAGGAACCTCGTCCACTCCCTCCTCATCTTCCTCCTCTTCATCATCCTCTCCGTCCTTTTCCCAGAGCGACGTGGTGACATGGTGGTACTGGGTGGTGTCCTCACACTCCATCTCACGGTGGTAGAAATAGCTGAAATTGGACACGATGACAGGCACTGGCAAAGAGATGGTGAGCACGCCGGCGATGGCGCACATGGAGCCCACCAGCTTTCCCCCGACTGTCTCCGGGTACATGTCCCCATAGCCGACTGTCGTCATGGATACCACAGCCCACCAGAACGCCTCAGGGATGCTGGTGAACGCTGTGTTAGGACTGTCCACCTCGGCAAAGTAGGCGGCACTAGAAAAGAGTATGACTCCGATGAAGAGGAAGAAGATGAGCAGGGCAAGCTCCCTGAGGCTGGCCTTCAGCGTCTGGCCCAGGATCTGGAGGCCCTTGGAGTGACGAGAGAGCTTGAAGATCCTGAAGACCCTCACCAGCCTGATGACCCTGATAAGGGCCAGGGACACGGATTGCTGCGCCCCTTTGTCCTTGGCCAGCTCAGTGCCCAGTGTGACGAAATAGGGAATGATGGCGAAGAAGTCGATGGTGTTCATGACGTCTTTGAAGAAGTGTATCTTGCTTGGAGCGCAGGTGAAGCGCACGATGAGTTCAAAGGAGAACCAGCAGATGCAGATCGTCTCTACGATGAAGAAGGGGTCCTGGAAGGGGGTGCCAGGTGGGATTGTGATGGTTTCATTCGCTATGGTGGGGTGAGGTATGGTGGTGAATTGCTGTAAAACAAAGGATGAAGGAAAGGTGGTTACAGTTGCACTAAAAGCATATGTGCTACTATCCGAACAGATACCACTTTTCTTCTTTCATCTGTTGGAAACATGAGTTGAAAGGAGAAATATGAGAATAAAGGGGAACGGTAGGGCTATAATAAATAGCTCCATGGAGACGATGTTTACACGAGAGAAAACAAGGACAGAGTAAACGGGAGAGGGACAGAGGATAAGTGAGAAGAAGCGATTATTATGAAAGTTTGTCCTCAGCACATTTGAAGTATGACATCTGTCATCAGGATCTGATCGTGCCTGTGAAATCTGTGATACTGTGCTAACTTTTCTCTCCTCTCCATTTTCAGTCAGCCAGCTTTATTTTTCCTCACAGACTTTTATATAAATCAGTTTCTCTATATTTAAACGGACACAAAAACATTACGTTCATGTGACACTGGGTTGCGTTACACCTCAGACACTGGCACGGCCGAGGCATTTGACACTTCATTTAACCCGGTCGCTTGTTTTTTTCTGGGAAGTAGGCGCAGGTTTGAAATGACTGGGCATTAGTGTCTTTTAACAAGTTAGATTGAGTTACTCTTAAGCTTCTGGTTGCCTTGCAGCACATATTGTCCCTGACACCATGTATTTATATGTTTTTATGTGTTCCTCTGTCAAAGTGTTTGCCCTTCACAGTTGGGATCTAACCGTTAACATAATTTAGTTTTTCATTGTAGTGGTTTTGAGAGATCCACCTCAAATATAATACACTCCTTGGCCACTCTAATGCAATCCAACAGCTCTGCCACGTATTATCTCTTTACACAGATAATTATGTTCAGTTTTGATTGACACAGTCAGAGAGTTGTTAATTAAATAATATGTTTACTTATAGTAGTTTGCAGTGGTGTTGATGTAGACTGCATTTTATTGGGGGGCGGTCAGAAGATTAGCATCTCTCAACATAATGCAGTCCAGTATGACACCGATCATTAATTATGACCTCAATAATAAACATATGATTGAATTAACACCTCTCTGACATTGACGACAACAACTGAACATTATAATCTTCCTAAATGGAAGATTGGATTGTTTTAAATTGTATAGGTATATATAATATGTAATATAATAATACATAATATAATCTAAGTGTAGTTCTAATGAAAGCTGTTGACAGTGGGGTCCACAGTTACCTGGACATTACTGAAGGAAAGACAGGTTTGTCTAGTTTTTAGCTATGCTAGCAGGTACACTAGTGGTGTCAATGTCAGTCTGTCTGTTGGTTGGTCCAGACTGAAATATATTTAATAACTGGATTGTCATGTAATTCTGTAAAGACATCCATGGCCCCCAGAGGATAATGACTCTGGTGGTCCCCTGACACCACCTGTTTTGTTTTGAAATATTCACAAAAAAATTCCCATCAGCCTCAGCTGTATTTTGTGTTTACTGCTAAAATGTCTACATGTTAGCACGCTCGAGTTAGCATTTAGCTCAAAGTGCCTCACAAACAATAGACCTCTTTCACAGCAACTACTTTGACATGAAGTAGTTGGGCAAACACAGGTGTTACCAATGTAACTAAGGTTCTGTTCCATTCGGGTCAAACAGAGTCAGGGTGCTGCATGTTGTGTATGTTGGTTCGTGGAAAGTCTCTGCTACACTAAATGGAACAGAACTTTAATCAGTATCATTAATAACACCTGTGTTTACCCTACTATTTCATGTCAAAATGGCTGCTGAGAAAAAGGTCTATGTATCATTTATTTATCTGGGTGAGGGCAGACATTACTGCAGTCAATATAATAAAATCTGGGAAATCAACCATCTGTTAGCTAGATACCACTATAGGTGAGTGACTTCACCTGAGCCCATTTTAAGGACCTATAACTTTATATCTTATAGAACCAACAACATGCATTCTAACAAAACTAATTTTGTTGGTTAGATTTTTACCACCATGTAGTGAGTGAGTGATTGCGTGGAGATGGCTGTTATGTAGGTTTGTTTGTGTAGTGTTCAAGAGCGTCAGATGCTCTGATCACGAGTATATGTACTGTATCTATGTATGGGAGTAATAGAGCAGCGTTGGTGGTGACGGGGAACATAAATCCAGCGAGCATTTCACTTCTGCTGCCTGAGCATCCACTATCCGCCTCGTCTCCAGGCTACCGGAGCGTGTGCGAGGCTAATTTGATTTTGCGCCGGTCATCAGAAAAGCTGATCTGCTAGCCTCTTTTCCATGCTGTTTTCAGTGTTGTGTAGCTTATGAGTCACAGCGTTTATTAATACAGACATTCGTTTATGTGTTGATGTGCTCTTAGGGTTGTCCTTCGTCTATATATAGTCCTTTAGATCTCCAAGGGGTAACGTGAGACAAGCTCATCTCCTTTCCTTCCCTTTCACACTTCTACCCTCTCTCTCCTCTCAGTACTTTTGAAATATCCACTTCACCTGAATGTACTTGTTGGCTCTGGCAGTCGTCCCTGAGTGGCCCGACAAGACATATCATCTCCACAACGTATCCTTCTGTTAACAGTAAACCTCTATCCAACTTTCCCTGTCTGTTCTCTACTTTCCTCACTCTTGTTTTTCCAACTGCCCTCCTCATCTCCCTCATTCCTTCCCCTCAATCTGAGTGGATCAGATTTAACGACAAGTCCAAAATAATCTGAGGAAAACCTCGCCCTCACTTTCTCTTCTCTATCTGCTGCCTTTGCTTTCCCTTCCCTTGATCTTGATTCTTATCTGTGACAGGGTTTTTTTCTAATCATCCTTCAGTACCTTTTTCCCTTCCGTGTTGAGAGAGGAGATAAAGACGTTTTCAGACAGTGCTGCAAGAGCTGGTTTATGTTTGGCAAGGTGACACCTGTCAGCACCTGATGTCCCTCTATGTTCACCTCATCACTTCCTTGCAGCGTTAACCTCTGTTCTCTTTGCATCCCGTCATCTCCTCGTTCCTCCTTCAATCATCTGGTTGTCTACCTCCTTTATGTGAATTTCCACTGACATAACCTCCATCTGCAGCCTTGTGAATCCTCCCTGTTACCTCCCTATCACACATAAGTGGCTCTTGTATGTGTCAGCACCATGTAACCCATCCTCACCTCCCTCTGTTCCTTCTCATTCCTGAACTCAGGCAGAGTCTCCAGGCAGAAGATGAGAATGGAGATCACAATGACCATGACGCTGATGATGGCGATGATCCGAGCACCACCGGACGACTCTGGATACTCAAACAGCATCCAGAGGCGACGCTGCAGGTCATTGGCAGGTAAGGGCCTCTCCTCCTCCTTGGGGAATCCTTCATCCCCTTTGTACCGGTCGATGGTCTCCTCTCCCAGTTCGTAGAAGCGCAGCTCCTCCAGGAACATGTCCAGAGGGACGTTGGCGGGCCTCCGCAGCCTCCCACCTGACTGATAGAAGTATAGGATGGCATCGAAGCAGGCACGGCTCCTGTCCAGGAAGAGTTCGTTCCGCAGAGGGTCAAAGTAGCGAAGACGACGCTGGGGGTCACCCAGCAGGGAGTCTGGGAACTGGGCGAGGGTTCGGAGCTGGGTCTCGTAACGCATCCCTGACACGTTGATGGCCAGGCGTTCAGTCAGAGCCCAGCCACTCCTGCACTGACCGCGGCGGTTCTCCCTTTTGGCCTCTCTGCTCGGCTCCTTCTCACTGCTCTCCTTCTCCAGCTTGTTGTGCTTGTCTTTGGTCCGCTTATCTTCATCACCAACGTCCTCAGCTTTCTGCTTTTCTTTCGTCTGCCCCCCTCCTCCTCCTTCTACTATACCATCCCCCTTGTCTTGTTTATCCATTTCTCAATCTTGGATTTTCTTTTATTTCTTGGCTTTATTGTTGTACTTCTTTTGTCTCTTCGCTCTGGAGAAAAGACATTAAGGTTAACTTGGCAATGTGGAAAAACAGAAGAGGGAAACATGAGTACATAAAAGTCAAAGAAAATAAATACAATAGCATAGGGTAATATTTATTACTTCTACTACATTTTTTAGTAAAATAGGTTATTAGATGTTCCTTAATTGTTTAATTTTATCAATAATAGATTATTATTCCCCAGAATATTATGGAACTGATCAATAAAATCAATCAAAAATCAAACTCTCACCTCAGTTTTCTCTTTAAATCAAGCGGAGCAATTTTCTGGGCATCAGAAAAAAACATTTGTTATGTTACTTAGATCACATTACAATAAATTATATATATATTAGCATGGATTGTGTGATGGTAAGAGTGAGTAGAAGACTGCCACATTAAGCAGAACTTGGTAGTTCTGCTAGTCCTCACTTTTGACATGAATTAGTATATTTGTCACCATATTCTGCTTCTTTTACTGTAAATGGCATCATGCAGACCCTCCATGCAAAAAGCTCCACACATGCAGTCATCTCCATGCTCATCACCAGTTAATCACCATGTCCAGTGCACCCAGTAGAAACTCAGACTGGTCCCCTCCTCTCACCCGTCTGCCTGCCAGAGCTGCTGATTCAAACTAATCACACCTCCACAGAGTGACCATGACTCTCCTACTGTACCTCCACCTCAGGGTGCCTTTTGGGCTGACCCTTCTCTGCTTCTAAGACAGTTTGTGTATCCTCATAATGATGTCCAGACAACCCCTCCTCCTCCTTCTGCTCTATGTGTCTCGTTTGGGAGGGGAGGGGAGGCGGCAGAGCGAGTAGCGTGGCTCCTTCAGGGGCTGCTGCGGCGTTAAACTGCAGCGTGGGTGAAGTTAAGATAGTTAAGCTTGTTTGTAGGTCACTCAGTGTCTTCACTTGCGCCCTCTCTCACGCTCAATACGCCCCCTGGGAATGCTGTCGGGCAGAAATTCAATCTTTGACCCTCTCCTCCTCTAAGAGCACCGCTGCCTCTTCTACCCCTATCTCTGCCCCCAGCAACCCTTGCTGCCCGGAAATGTCAACCTCTTCACCCCTCACTCTTTCTTAAACATACTGTACATGTTTGCATGCATGGGTGCACATGAACTCTCACATAACAGAGGCCAAAACTATTATGTTAAAAAAAAGGAAGAAAAAAAATAAAAAAAGGAAGATTTGTTGTGTTGATGATTATAATTTCCATGCTGGGATAAAACCACAAACATGTGGTTAGTCTTTTTTCTTGGATTTTGTCGCCATGTCGCCTCTAAATGCTTCCATAGCTTTGCTGTCATCGTCTATTTTAAATTATATTTGACTATTTGACTGTGGCTTGTGCAGCATTTACACAAATTTAAAACAGGGCACATAAAACATGTCAAAGGAAGCTTGACCTCATTTGATATTAAATTTAAATCTGGATGTCTGTGGTTATTTTAGACACATCATGAAGTCTGTGCACTGTAAGCGTTGCTGTATGGCACTGTGTGTGTGTGTGTGTGTGTGTGTGTGTGTGTGTGTGTGTGTGTGTGTGTGTGTGTGTGTGTGTGTGTGCAGTAAAACTACAAGTCCTGTGACCAGATTTTGTGACACAGTGGTTTGCAAATGTTGCCTTCAAATGCTCTGAGTAAATTCCAAATGTCTTACTTCTCAGAGTCATAAATGCAAGTGTTTGGTACATTAAATAAATGAGGGATTGGACACTATCAGAATCAGTTTTTTGGAAGCTATTGCATGATTTCAAGTGAAATAAAGCTGTGGCTGTGATGAAATGGAAACACATTTATATGAAAGCTTTCCTCACATGTTTTATGTTTATGAGTATTGTGTTTTTCATTTTTGGTCAACCACTTTGGTCCACACTAAAATATATTTGGAGGAAACTTTCAGATAGATTGCCATGACATTTTGTACAGAGATTTATGGTCTGCAGAGGATGAATCTTAATGACTTTGGTTATTCCCTGAAATTTCCTCTACCGCCACCAGCAGGTCAAAGTTTCCACTTACTCTGTGAAATATCTCAACATCTACTGGCACAAGATTTGGTACAGACATTCACACCCTTCTCAGAAGGAATTACAATCAATGCGATGATCCTCTGAATTTGATTTAGTGCAATCATCTGGTTAAACACTTACATTTTGTGCAGTATTTTTGTTCATGACCAAAATATCTGTAAAACTAATGACACTCCCATCAGCCTCGCCTGTACTTTGTGTGCTAATGTGTTAAACTAACATAGTGAACGGAGTAAAAAATTATACCTGCTAAACATCTGCATGGTTGCATGGTCATTGTGAGCAAGTTATCATGCTTACATGAGCATTTACCTCAAACCACGGGCTCACTGACTGCTGCTGTGGCTCAGGGGGAAGAGTGGGTTGTCCACTGATCAGAAGGTTTGTAGTTTGATCCCCGGCTCCTCACGCTGCATGTCGGAGTGTCCTTGAGCAAGATATCATGCTGATAACACAAACGTATGGCAAAGTGTGTGAATGCACTTAGTTTGGGTTCATGATGAGCAATCGGCACCTTGCAGGGCATCTGCCATCAGAGTGGGTGAATGTGACATGTAGTCTAAAGCTCTACGCTACAATAGCTATAAGCTCTTAATACATTAAATAAAAAGTATACCTTGTGAACAATAGAAAGTTGTGTGTGTGTTAGCATACTGATGTTAACTTTTAGATGAAACCTAGCGTGTCTGTAGTCTCTCTTGTTATTGTATATAACATAGGAGTTCAATGTAATTTTACCAGGTAATGTCAATAGGTCTTTAATTTTCTTTTTTTATTAATGTAAATAATAAGTTCACAATTTATTGACAACATTTCCTCCACTTTGAGTGAACTTGGGTATTTCCAATACTTCCAGTGACACTTGAAGGCATCAAAGCAACTCCCATGATTTTGTGTAACTTTGAACTTCACACTTGAGGAAGTTGATGAACTGGAAGAGACGCTGACGTGCTTTGAAAAAAAGAAAGCACAACAATAATCTTTGCACGTCTCCTGCAGCGTTAACTACCAGAATGTCCCTCCGCTACCACAACAAAGTTGTGATTGTCACTGGAGGATCCCAGGGGATTGGCAGAGGGATTGTTAAAGTATTTGGTATGGTAACTATTGTTATTTATTATTGATCAGAGCAGGAAGTGGCGCATCTTTCAAAACCTTCTCACGTGTTTTTTTCAGTGGAGAATGGTGCTAAAGTGGTGTTCTGTGCAAAAGGAGGTTCGTAATATTTTTTTTATTCATCTTTTTTTACCACTCAATTCTGTATTAACTTAGAAAATGTTTTACCACATAGCTTTATAATTCATTCATTCATTCATAATTTATATCAATATGATATGATATATAACTGAAGCATAGGAATGTATACTTATATATTTTATCATGATCTTGCATGTATTACAGGTGGACAAGGTGAGGCTCTAGAGACGGAGCTAAACAAGGCAGGGCCAGGCTCATGCAAATTTGTCACATGTGATGTCTGCAAGGAAGATGACATCAAGGTAAAAGTGCAACTTTATTGTCGTTGGTCTGGTTATACTGGAAATAGATTTACGGTTCCCATATGACCCAGAGTCCTGATCACAAGACCTGTCCAAAGATCCATAGACTGCTTGGGTCAAATGTTCATTTGGAAAGTTGGCAACTAAAACATTGAGTCCAGCCAGATGTGTGTTTGTTTGTGCTCGTGTTTGCTCTCCTGGGCCAGGTCCCGTCTGTCTTTGCTCTTTTGTTGGAAACTGGTTCCTCTGGCCTGCTTTTTGTTCAAATGAAACTGGTGTGACTGTTTCTCCACAGAGATCGATTGCTGTCACAGTGGAGCGTTACGGACATGTTGACTGCCTGGTCAACAATGTAGGGTGGCGTGAGTCTCACACTCTTAAGTCCTCCAGCAGATGTGATATTGAGGTCATGATATTTGAGGTTGCTTCTCGTGGTACTAACTTAATTTATCTGTTTTCCTTTGCCCTCTTCAGACCCGCCTCATAAACCTACTGATGACACCACAGCACAGGAGTTCAGGGATCTGCTGGATCTGAACCTCATCAGCTACTTCTTGTTTTCTAAAGTAATGTCTCCAAATTCTTCAAAAGGCCAATAATTGATTATGACTTTAATTACTTTGACTGAATAATGGAAACAAAGAAAGATTTGACTCGTATAAGCAACTGAAACCCTAATTTTGAAATATAATCACTACTGTATAATTTGAGTATATACTACTACTATTATTATTATTACTGAATACTTGATGTGAATAAATGCAATAGCAAATATGAAACTCAAGTCAAATCAAAAAGTCAGCGGCTCAAATTAGTGAAAATCAGAAACCAAGATTCAAGAGGAAAAATTAAAAACTTGAACATTTGGGCACCAAGAATAATCAGTCACGCATGATAGGAATTCATTAGTTCATAAGTGAGTGAATTGTGAGGTTTTGGAATGAGCTGACAATATAATAATAATAATAATAATAATAATAATAATAAACTTTATTTATGTTGCCATTTTCTTAACAATGTTACAAAGTGCTGCAGAAAGGAAAAAAATAAAAACCAAGGTAGATTAAATGACAATAAGGAACACGAACACCGAAGTAATAAAACAATGGAATGAATAAGAACAAATACATAAGAATAAACACATTACAAATAAAAATATAGCAGATTAAACCTCCTGAATTCAGATATTTCTGATATTAAAATACTTCAGTGCTTTGAATTCAGTGGTATTTCGGTTCCAACAAGAAGTATTCAGTAATGATCTTATCAGTTCCTTATAAAAGATTGGAAGTATATCTTTGCTTCCATTGACCTTCCTCACACACCCTTAAACACGTGTAAGTAAATACAATCTCTGAAGTCACTGGAGGTCTCACTCTCTCTTCAGTATGCACTGCCGTACCTCCGGCAGCGTCAGGGAAACATCATTAATGTCTCCAGTCTGGTGGCAACCATCGGTCAGAAAGAGGCTGCACCTTATGTCGCCACCAAGGTGAGTTTATCCTCCAGGAGACAAGAGTCCACACTTCTTTAATCCTTAAAAAGGTGATCTGTAAGGTAATCTTTTGTCCACAAGGGGGCGATCACTTCCATGACAAAGGCAATGGCTGTGGATGAGAGTCGCTACAACGTGCGAGTGAACTGGTGAGACAAACTGGTTTCTGTGTTCTGTCTGGTTTAGATCACTGATTTCACTCTCAATACTTTATTTAAATATGTAAATAGTTTGGCTATTCAAATTTAAATGTGGTTCCATCTTCAGTGCTGAAATGACAAACTATTACTCTAATAATTAATCAATTTAATTATGTTTTAATAAACTTATTTACAGTAGTGAAGTAAAGTATTCAGATCAAGTACCAGTACAACCATGTATAATAATAAATAAATAATCCAATTAAGAAAAGGTGCATAAATATTATCAGCACAATATAATTAAGTTATCAAAAGTAATCAAAATGTGTTTGTTCTGCAGTAAAATCTCTCCTGGGACTGATATATTATTATATGACATTAATTGATTTTTAATACTTATTAATCGATGTGTAATCAACATTTTACTGTTTGTAGTAATTTTTTTGTTTTACAGTTATTTAAATGAAACAATCTGAGAAATCTAGGGTTTAGAAATATCTCTTTGAAACGTGATGAGTGGCTCCAAAAAGACACTGATCATCTGAAAAGTAACTATTTAAGTCTGATAAATGCAGTGTAATAAAAGTAAAAATATTAACCCTTGAGTGTGGAGTATAGCATAAAACAAGTACCTCAAAATTGTACTTAAGTACAGTACTGGAGTAAATACTCCGTTTGTGTTGCGACAAAATGAAACATTTAAATGATCAGAGAAAAACAAGCATCCTCTTTGCATTTAAAGGATGTAATCATCATATATTTGTACATATATTGTTGTAACTGTCTCTGACTAATCTAATTGGTGCGTTACTTGTCTAATAACACTGTCATGTATTGCAGCATCTCTCCAGGTAACGTGCTGACACCTCTGTGGGAAGAATTAGCAGGACAGACACCAGATGCTGCAGCGACCATTAAAGCGGGAGAGAATTCGCAGGCAAGTTCTCACAGCGCAACCATGAGGGTTCCTACACAGGCCAGAAAGATAAGGAACATGTTCAGATTGACGTGATCTTACAGAGGTCTTGGGGGGAAAAGAGAGACAGAGTTGACTAGTTGAGCAGTAGTGAGATTATTCCTGTTTGTAGCGAAGACTTTTAGTCCTGAAAAGTGTAAAAAACACACACTGTTACATAACACTGATAATAATACATAATACTGAGGTTCTTCAGACTCCATGTTTCAGTGTTAATCACTAGGAGGTGGCCCACAGTTCCTGCCACATTGTTGTGTTATTGATCAAAACTGCCACGCACTGCGGTCTGTCTATTGGGTTGTAAATATTAACTCCCTCCCTCGCCATGCAACTTACAACCCAGTCAGAAGAGGCATTTAAAGCTAACGGGATGATACAACAAAGAGGAGACGCTAGACTGCGCTCCTGAAGAGTTTCAGCTTGCTCTTCATTATTCATGGTGGAAGAGTGGAAGCAGCAGCATATGAAATATTAAGTAATATCATGATGTGCCTCTGGAAAACGTTTTAATTAAGTGTCTTACAATTCAGATTTCATATTGATAACAGATCTTATCACAATTAATGCGATTTAAATTATCTGTGTTAAATATGCTCAGTTCTGCTGTTATTGCTTCTTCATTTCTACATATTAACAAAACTTTAAAAACAGAATGTGAAAGAGAATTCCCTAAAATCCCTACATTTCCCATTTTCCATTTTATATTAATTTAGTAAAGTGTTAGTAATGAAGGAGGATGGGGATTTTTATTTAGGTTATTATAATCTAGGTAAGATGTAAAAATCTATATTAAGCTTGTCGTTTAACCCAGTTGTGGGTTGACTGGGTCAAAATAAGTGAATGCACATTTTTTTTAAATGGAGTCTTGCATGAAAAACATTCTCTGTAAAACAATTTTGAAATTTTAAAAAATTACTTGGCAAATAGTTAAGAGCCAAGCTGCCTGTTTTACGATGCAGCAACTGCAGGGAACAGCTGCAGGAGTATAAAACACACACATAAACACAAGGAAGTTATGTGGCTGCAAACCACAAAATGTGCAGTTGGTAACTGAACAAGAAATGGAAAGGTTTTTTTCCTCTCAAACAGCTGCTGGGTCGTATGGGGACTGAGGCCGAGTGTGGACAGGCCGCCTTATATCTCGCTGCTGATGCTACTTTCTGCACCGGGATAGACCTGCTGCTCAGCGGCGGAGCTGAACTCAACTACGGCTTCAAGAGTCAGATCCCATCCTGACTGTCCTGGTCTCCCAAATCCTCCTGATGGTTGTGGAACAGCTGGTTTAAAGGATTACATTTGTTTAATGCTGATTTTTTTTATATAATGTTTAAAGTGTGCTGGCTACATTAGTAACACCAATACTAACTGTTCAATATTCATTCATGAAAATAAATTTTTTTAAATTAATTTTGTGAATTTAGTGAATTTGTCAATTGAAAAAGTTTTGGCATCCTTGCCCTGCTATGACGTGAACCACTCCCCACCAATGGACCAATCAGCGTCAGCCTCTTTGACCTCGAGTAACCTCCACTTTGAGAGTCTGCCGGTGTCAGCCAATCAGATGTCACGCTTTTTGTCACGCCTCCAATGACTTCCTGTGTGACACCTTACTGGTTTAATGTAAACGGACACTTTGACCAGGATCCCATTATCAAAGTGATTTTATGGTGATCCCCCCCCCCCACACACACACACACTCTGTCACAGAAGTTTAGATTATTAACCCAGAAAAAAAAAATAAATAAATAAATGATTTTTTTTTATCACCAACCGTATAGGAGGGTTTATAAACCAGCTGGGTCAAGTGTTTGTGTTAAAGGACTAACATCCTGAAGGGCTTTTTTTTTTTTTTTTTTAAATGTGTGGGAGGTTTCTGACTTCACCTCAGCTGAGCAGCGACTCTTATTTCAAAGCGGAACCCAAGTTGACTTTGAGCGGAGTGTGTGTTTCTACACGAACAAATAATCTCGTTTATCATCGTTACGTAGCGGAGATGGCAGCCCTGCGAACGGTGAGTTCATTGACTAATGTCTGTGTGCTGTTTGTTATCTGTTCACATTGACTGTCAGGGTAAATGATTCACTCAAATAGGCGATAAGTCGGCCGGTAATGACCGAGGGAGATAACGAGTCCTTATCGCGGGCTCCGCTGGTTTTCTGTCCCGCCAGCGCCGAGGATGGCAAAACAAGACGGCGTGGAAAGGGTCGTTAAACCAAACTCCATGCTGAAACCTGGGAACTAAAATTTGTTTTGCTTATCAGCAAAAAGTTGACACCTCGTGAAATACAAGTCAAGGGCTTCAATAAATCTTAAAGGTTCGGGGATGAGTTCGGCACACATCCGGTCACAAATTTAGACTTTATTTCGTTTTGTCCTTTTGTTTTTTTTAAAGTTAGACTAACGTTACACGTATCACATTCCGAGGTTTTGGTGGACGGTAGTAGCCAAGGCAGTAAAATGCTTTGTAGATTATTAGTGTGCCGAAGTGAAGACTATAACCTACTGATACAGGAGTAGTTATTAATATGTCTGTATGTAGTTTGTAAGCGACGGTGTGAGTAAGATTCAGTGAATTTAACGATTTTTTAAATGGAGTTTGGCGTGGAGCTAGGAAGCACCATTCTCCAGGTTACTTAAGAATATGCAAAGTGTGTGTGTGTGTGTGTGTGTGTGTGTGTGTGTGTTACTACCTCATTATGCCCTTACTACACATTTTCACATTTGTAATTAAGTTACATTGCAGCTGTCTCTGCGTTTGATGTTAATGCTAAGCACAAATGCTAGCTGGCGTTTGCGAAGTACATTTTCACTGACTGTGATCCAAATTAGCCAAAAATGAAGGATAACATTTTATGCATGGGATTTACACGTGCATGTCACAAACTACACAGTAAAAAAAACAGACATATACCCACTCTACCTATGGTCGCAATAAGGGCAAAACTTGCATCAGCCATTCAACAAAGTGCACACATTGGCTCCTGCACCAGAGTCTAGGGATTTCCAAAGCATCAATTATACTGTCTTCTACATCAAGTCAATTTGATTTGGAATGTGAACTCATTGTGAAAGACCACCACTGCAGATTAAAAGATTAATTATGGGATTACCAAAAGCACAACATGCTTTACAAGCATTCAGCTCCCTGGACAGTTCAGCCAAATGAAACCAGAATGGACTTAATACCCCACACTGCTTTCCCTCAGACAGGAAAAGAGCTGATTTTTCCTTTTTATATTAGTTTTCCTCTAATGACAGGAGCTACTGATATCAGTAAACCATTACTGTTGGTGGCGTCTTTGGTGTTTTGTCTATTAGAGCAGGCATTGTTTGTTTGTTGCCTTTTTTCCTGACTCTCACTTTATTCTGTGAGCCTTTTGTCACCAACGTAGGAGCCTTGCAAACTAGTTTCTCACCTTTCATTCTTCATTTTGCAGAGTAGCCTGCAGACGTGCCTCAGTCTAATTACGGCACAGCACACAGCACAGGCATGTGCCACTAGCTCCACACTGTGAACTGCGAGCGAAATGATTGGTGCTGAGTCACACACCCACAAAATACACCATGTCAGACTTGTATTCCTAAGGCTGGATGAATAGTTGTCACCTGGAAAGATGATATATCCTACAAAATATTGCAATAAAGGTCGTCTAGTAAAATTCATAGCACTGTGTATAGACGACTGTCACAGTGAGTGTGTCGTCTTGCAAAGAACGTTGTCATGTTTTATTTGCAGGCACTCCATGGACGACTGGTTCAGACCCTCCCCTTTTCCTTTGGCTCACTGCGGTTCGCCAGCTCGTTTAAGGTAATGAGGAAATGTTAACGCTCTCTTGCTCACCAGGTGAGGCCTGCGCTGTCTTCCTGCCTGGACATGCTTGGCAGCTTTGTCTCAGAGCACATGGTGTTTATAGATTTATCACTTTGGGGAGAAGTTCAACTTTAACTCCTACAAGTTGCCTAGAAATTAAAGTTTCTTTCCCCCCTCCTCTGTCTTTTCCCTCCCTGTCTGTGCCTGTTGTTGTAATTATTTAATTCAGTTTAATTGCACTTAATTAAATTGTGTCTAATTGACTATATATCTTGACTGACTCTGTATAACTCTCAACTAATTGTCCTTTGAAAGCATGCTCTGTCAATAACGATTTAAAAAAAAAACAATCACTGTATTCGTCGCCCGCTCTGCTTTTCTCCTGTCTACTTTTTTTGCTCTTCCCGGCTCGCTTGTCCGTCTCCGTCTCAGGCTGCAGATGTCGTCGTCGAACAAAACGCAGCATGCAAGCCGAAGCCCGACCCATCCACCTTGGTGTTTGGCAAACAGTTCTCCGACCACATGTTGACCATCAACTGGTCGGAGAAGGACGGCTGGGAGGCTCCTGAGATCAAACCTTTCCAGAACCTGTCACTGCACCCTGCCAGCTCTGCCCTGCACTACTCCATAGAGGTGAGTGGAGATCAGATCTGTGTTGTTTCTGATGTAGTCTGACTCGCAGGAAGTAGTCGGTATAAGCCAGACATTGGGCGACTATTTCAGTCAGCATTCTCCCCCCGTTTCACTATGTCCGTGTTACGGTCACCATTGCCACATGAAACCAACCTCCAAGCTAACAACCTATATGCTGAAAGTTATCCTAACCAGGTCACTAATTGTACGAGCGTAAACAAGCTGGCAGCCAAGTTCTCTCATAACACTGTATTTGTAAGGGCACCACCATTGCATCCTGGGCTTAGGGCCACCCAAGATGATTATAATTGGCTTAAAGAAATACAGACAAGTCAGTGTTTTCCCCCATACCAGAATGATAATGAGTTCTGTTTGAGTGCTAAAATGAAGTTTAGAGATAGGCGAGCCAGTTTCTGATGTTTTCACTGGGTGCAGCAACTCCTGCTGCTGTAGTTTAACTGACAACAATAGCAATATAGACCTAGGATTATATACAGAACTGCTACTGGCTGATATTTCTTGCAGATGTATTGTTACTGCCTTGCATAAATGGTATATCAGTGCTTCTCTTTAAAATGAAATACTTACGAAGGTGAAAGTGTCTCTGAAGCAGCAAGTAGAGCATAATGAGACAATAACTAACCTCACTTGGGACTCACTACAGTCATTCAGTTGCGGGGTAACACTGGGAGATTTAAACCAACTAAGTAACTGCCATGAATGAACAAAAAAAACCAAAAACAGTTTCTTTGCAGGTGTACCACATTGTTTGAACACATATATTAACAGTCTGATACAGAAACCTTACAGCGTGTTTCTGTCTCCTCTCCAGCTGTTTGAAGGCATGAAGGCGTTTCGTGGTGTCGACAACCATATCCGTCTGTTCAGACCCATGCTGAACATGGAGAGGATGCATCGAAGCGCTGACAGAAGCTGCCTTCCTGTGAGTTTGTACCCCCGCCTCGTCCTCCAGAAACCCTCAGTGGGGATGCTCATGTATGCCAGCTAACTGTATCTGGGTTGGAACTGATATTTGGTATTTTGACCAGAAAAAGCCTCTTAAACAGCATTTAGACCAGCATGAGACACTAAGATCTTGTTCAGCTGGAGGGAGGGTGCCCGATACAGGGCTGTGGCAAAAAAAAACAATCAATTGCATGCAAGCACACATTATTAGTAGGATGTCTGTTAAGATGAAAGAGAATAGTTTTCTCATGCCAATAAAGCCCTTTTGAATTGAATGAAAGTGAAAATTTTCCGCTGTGATCCAGAGTTTTCAAATCCTTTCTTGTAAACTATGCTTCCTGTATCATATTTCATTGTGTTACTGATACCCTAAGCAACACGTTCACACCGACGCAGGCTTGTTTTCCGTCTGAATGCCCTCTAAAACTCAGGAAGCCAGACTAAATGGACCGTATTGACGGCAACAAAATCACTGTGAGAAAAAAAACCTCCTTCTTCGGTCCAATGCACAGCACTAACAGGGCAAACACCTTCCAGCAGCCGGGATGAACTTCTCAAAGTTGTACAATCCAGGCTTCATCCACTGTCTTAAAGCTCAACTTCTTGGTTTATATTTTATCTTCTGTACCCTGTGGCCTCTCATTGTGTTGCCATGGGCTGTTCAGAATGCGGCTCAGATTCTTTTAAGTTTCCAGGTTGAGGCGGGTTACATTTAGACTGCTGCCCTGAAGCGGCTGACCCTCTGCGATGTTGCGTAACTGCTTGCGAACATGCCCATTTTTGGCCTACCACTCAAAGAACCCCGTCCTGATGCAAGAGTTAAAACTTCACCAGGAGTAGGAGGAGGAGACACAATGGAAACTATGATCCTGTTTATACTTGGTTTTAAAATGGATCTGTAGGCATTTGGATCACAAGTGTAAGTGACCACGAAGACCTCTTGTGATCTGATCACTCAAACCACTTGCCGAGCTGGTCTGGAACCACATATTTGTTGCAGTGCGTCCCGATGTGTCCCAGATAAGGATGTAACAGAAAAATACATCATCAATGCAGGACGTGTGGTTGTTTTCTCAACCGTTGGAAAAGCCCCTTACGTGTATATTAGTTCCTAAAACATTTATGTTTTCTTAGCTAGCCTGTGTGAAACAAATCTGGCGAGTCACGACAGACTGGTGGTAATAACTGTGTGTGAGGGCCCTAATCGCCAAAAATGGCTGCTAAATCCAAAATGGCCGCCTTCCTGTTGGGTTTGGGATATGGCTCCCGCTGAATTTTTTGTTCGTCTGGATAAGATCTACAAGTGTGCCAATTTTTATGCATATCTGTGAATGGGGCCCCGGATGGCACAGTTTATGCCATGCTCATAGTCGACCCATAGACATTTTTTGCCATGACTGAAATGTGCGCCGCGTTTCATGAGTTTTCGAGCATGTTGCGGCCTCCAAATATGTAATCGAAGTGGCAGAAAAATTATAATTCCTTCCATTACAATAGGGCCTTCGCACGTTCAGTGCTCGGGCCCTAATAAATATTGTGCATCTGTTTTATAGATCTGAATACAGTTGATCAGACGTGTGTGTGAACGGTTATTTGCCTCAGCTGTGTGAACTTGTGTTTGGATCAATGAAAACCAAGTGTAAACAGGGTGTATGAGTGCCTTATGTCACATGATGGACCTCATTGTCTCAATTTACTCTTTGCACAGACAAAAATATTTTTTTTTCCTAGAAAAATGTTTATTATGTCACCCACAAGTAATGTATGTAGCTGTGTTGTGAATGATTGAATCTCATGTAAACACAGTATACACATGCACACTAACTTTACCCAGGTTTGCTTACGTAAGGCTTCAGTTAACACGGCCTGAGCTGCAGTGGTGAAATGCTGCTACAAAGAGATTATGTAAATAAAGAACGTCCTTGTCTTTGTTTCTTTGTAGTTGTTCGATAAAGGTGAAATGCTGGAGTGCATCAAGAAGCTGGTGGCGGTTGACCAGGAGTGGGTTCCCTACTCCCAGGACGCCAGTCTCTACATCAGACCCACCTTCATAGGAATTGAGGTCTGTGTCGATTCCCATCTCAGCTGAAGTGATTAAATCCGCTGGTGTTAAATATGGTTCAGTCCTGCATACTCTCATTACTGTTGACCTGACTTCCCGTCTTCTCCCTCTTCCTCACCCCTCCTCCAGCCGTCCCTCGGTGTGTCTCCGGCAGGAAAGGCTATGATCTTCGTCATCGTCGGCCCAGTGGGACCTTACTTTGCCACAGGGTCCTTCAACCCCGTTTCTCTGCTGGCGGACCCTTCATTTGTCAGGGCATGGCAAGGAGGCGTTGGGGCCTATAAGATGGGAGGGTGAGTTTGGTATCTTTCTTTTCTCAAAAAACCAAAAAAAAGTGACTAGCATGTTAGATTCTAAAAGACTTCTTGCTAAACCACCATAATAGTCAGATATAAGGGAGAGGAGGATATTACTGTGGCCTGTACAGTGATGTCACTGGACAACAACAGGTACAAAGACCCTGAGCAGCTGTCAGACTTTCCTAAAGGGATGGAATAGATTTGGAATTTGGGATTATATGAGGAACTTGGACATACAGTAGCCGACAGGAGTACCGGCACGGAAGCTAAGCAATGCAAAGGACAGGGGCAGCAACAAAATGTATTATTTAATTACAATCAAAGCATTGTAATGAATGTATCAGTTAAAATAAAACAGTACGTGTGCTTTATAACACTGTCACGGCTGAGTAAAGTTTCTGAAGTGCCACAGCTGTGTTTTTATTCAGCAGTGGATCTGGACCGAGGACAACTATTTGGATTTTCCACTTGAGCTCATGAAGCTTGGAACGGCAGCCACAGAGCTAGCTGACGTTGGGGTCAAATCTGTGTCAAAAGAAGACAAAATTGGAACAAGACAGCCATTCTGTCTTCTCGTAGCAGGAGAAGTGCAGTTAATGAATATCATCAGTTCCAGTTTGTACGTCAACTCAAAATGTCGGCCAGAAGAAAGGTTCATGGCAAAATGTGATTTCCCAGGAGGTGGAGAGGGTTGTGGGTATTGTAGTGTTTGTAATGGAGATGGATCGGGGTTTAAAAGCAGCCTGTTTTTAATCCAAGGTCATAATGTCAGGATCTCTGATACGACCAGTTTGACTCGTCAAGCATAGGTTGGTTCGTGGCACAGAGCCATCAATAATGTTATTACACCTGTGCTCTTCCTGCTATGACGAGTCCAAATGTCCGCTGCGACAGAGATCTGTTGAGCTGTATTTCACCTTGTGTTACAGATAGAAAATGCTCAAAGGAATGTGGCTTTAGAAGAGAAAAAAACACTAAGGAACCTCATGAACGTCACAGCAGCAACACTACAACTATTTCACAGCGGGAGACGCTTTTTCCACCAGCTTGAAACCAATCCTTGTTTCAGCAGGCCGAAGGCGGTTAAATCAAGTGTGAATCCCTCCACTGTGTTTTGTACCGCAGACGCTGTCAGTGCTCCTGTAAGCTCCACTCATTCCACACAGCCTGTAATCACAGGCCTGCTACCACATGAGCGTGGTATCCTATAGTGACACCTGCTCAGCTACAGTGTTAACGTTACGTAACACCACTGAACAACCACTTGACTCACTAAGCCAATAAAATCTGCTCCCCTCCCATCAAACCGCGAGGATACACTATGAGAGCTATGAAGCCTGATTTAGCAGCAGAGGTCACGGCACTGCAGGGTAGATATTTCAGGGCTGTCACTCCGTGTGCAACTGCTCTGTTGTCATGTTTATTTAATGCAAGTTTGTGTTACATTTACTGTTTGATTCAGTCTCAGCATAAATGCACAACAAACAATCTTGATACAGATTCCTTTTTTTTTTTTTTTTTGGTTTTATTGCATTGTGTGTGACTGACTCCTTTCTATCAGAACCAGCATTAACCTTTTCAGCAGTTTGAGCTACAGTAGCTCGTCTGTTGGATCGGTCCACACGGGCCAGCCTTCATTCCCAAGTGCATCAATGAGCCTTGACCCTATCGCTGGTTCACCGCTTTTCCTTTCTTGGACCACTTTTGATGCAGAGCTGCAGTGTTGGAGATGCTCTGACGCAGTCGTCTAGCCATCACAATTTGGCCCCTAGTCAAAGTCGTTCAAATCCTCACGCTGCCCATTTCTCCTGCTTTTAACACATCAACTTTGAGGACAAAATGTTATCTTACTGGCTAATATATCCCACCCACTGACAGGTGCCAGAAATCAGTGTTATTCCCTTCACCTATTAATGCTTATAATTTTATGGCTGCCATAAGCTATACATATCAAGTGACAAATTCACTAAATTTACACACATATATATATATATATATATATATATATATATATATATCAGCTTCTAACATCAAGATGTGAGGCGTGAAAATACGATATTTTATATAATGTTGTCCAATATCAGTTTTTTACTTTTCTACTTTCTTTTCTGCAAACACGTTTGCCAGAACAACTTAACATTGCGACAGTATGTCAGGGCTGTGTGTTTTTCCTCTGCATTGATCCGTGCAGCTTAAACGTTGTGACAAATTTCCACAGCTCAGTATGACTCATCACTTGAGTCTTAACTGCAAGTTGCATTGTTCATTGTTTATTGAAAGCTTTGCGGTCACAAGGATATGTTTTCAAAAATCCCGGTAGAGCTGCATATTTCTCAGAGTCTTCTTCCATTTCTTGGCACGGGTTAAACATTTTAGTGAGAGAAAGCTTTGTGCAGTTTTTTTTTACATGTTGTGATAACTATAATGTTTTCACTGAGTCCTTTTGTTGTTCACATTGGTGACATTGATCACCAGGTTCCTTCCTCCTCAGCACAAACACGTGCCGTGCTGAGGACGTGAGTGTTGGTTTGGAATCATTTAGTCCATTTATTTCCTTGATACAATAAAATGTCACTGCCCTGTTTCTCAGTTGTCTCCCGAGATTGTTTGTTGTATCACAGCCTTAGATATTCAGTAAGTACATACAGTATACAGGAAAAATAGAACGACATCTATCTCTCACCGCTTTGTCCTCCCTTCCCGCTGCTCTCTTGACACTCATTTCTCTGCCTGTCTGTGGCTTATTTTAACTCTGTCCAGTAACTACGGTCCTACGATAGCAGTCCAGAATGAGGCGGTGAAGCGCGGCTGTCAGCAGGTCCTCTGGCTGTATGGAGAGCAGGAGGAGATCACCGAGGTCGGCACCATGAACCTCTTCATCTACTGGACCAATGAGAACGGAGGTCAGACTCTTTTCTGTTTGTTTAACCCTGAAATACAGTTTGTTTCTGGAGTTTTCTGTCCACATTTTCTATCTTACCACTGATCTCGGTTGGAGTATTAGAGCACCTTGTTCTTTTAACTTGGATAAAACCAGTAACGTAATGTATGTTTGTGTGTCTGCAGAGAAGGAGTTGCTGACCCCACCTCTGGATGGCATCATTCTCCCAGGAGTCACCAGACAATCTCTGCTGGACCTGGCCAGAGAGTGGGTAAGTCAACCAGAGAGGAGACCAAACTAGTATTATATTTGTACTATTTTAATAGCATGCAGTATCAGTTATGACACATGCAACCTCCTATTCAATGAAGAGGGAATTGTACATTTAATTTCTCCCAAATTTCTCCCTGTGTGCTCCTCAAATGTTCAGTGTAGCAGCTCAGTTAATAGAACTATTTGAAGAACAGATTTGAAAGGAGGTATCGTTATAAGTTTTTCCAATGTGAAAGTGCCTTTAGATCCAGAAATCGAATACCGGGGAGCTCTTTAGAGTTGGGTGTGTGTTTCTCCATCCAGATTCATAGATAGTAGAAGATTGACAGATTCACTTTCAGTGCGGTAGATCAGTGGTTCCCAACCCACAACGGGTCTCAAGACATACATAGATGTACAGAAGAAATGCACAAAAAATTCATTTTATCCTCTGATTCTGGTTTTAATGCTTTCATGGCTCTTAAAAATGATTCAAATCAAACACAGAATAACAGTCACTCTTTGTCAAAAGTGATGATATTTCTTGAAAACGACAACTGTCGATCACTTAACTTTCATCTCCTCTTGATGTTCATTGCTTCCTGTGTCTCCATCAGGGTGAGTTTAAGGTGACGGAGCGCACGATGTCCATGAAGGAGTTGCTGGGGGCTCTGGACACTGGGAGGATCAAGGAGGTGTTCGGAGCAGGGACAGCCTGTGTTGTCTGTCCTGTTGGTAGCCTGCTCTACAGAGGAAAGGTAGGAGTTCTCCCTTTTTTTCCCCATCATCAAAATTTTGTTTTTTAATGATGCTGTTCTGTAGGCTGAAATCTTAAGATTTCCTCATCCTACCGTTGGTCTCAGTGTGTTTACTTGTGTTTACATGCATTTAACTAACCAGGTCACTCAAGAGAAACCAGGTCACATGCATTGTAGTAACCTGGCTACTGTAAATCTGTGTGAACATGCAGCAGGTCAATAAGCAGATTTTGGAAGCATGTCTTTCTTATTTAATTAAACCAACTTACTTGGAATACTTTACTACATTAGTTTCAGTTGGATGGGATCATTTTAAATAAAAGACTGCATCATTTGTGTAATGACCTCTCCTTTTGTCCAGCCAGTTGCGCCCCTGCTTAAGAGCACATGTAAACAACCTGATAGTTAATCATTCTGGATAACAGTATGGGCTAAAAGACTAAAGTTTTACACCTCTCTCCTCCTCTCTCAGATGTACCAGATCCCGACAATGCAGAACGGTCCGGACCTGGCAAAGAGGTTCCACAAAGAGCTTACTGATATTCAGGTAAGTGCTAAAGCTCAGAGAGGCTTTTATCCTCCCAGCGCAGAATGTAACGGGTTCTTTAAGCTGCAACAGAAAGAAACAAACTTGAAGGTTGGTGACTCCAAGTGGCAGCATAGGGGAACTGAGAGATATCCAGAAATATCTGTTGTCAGTAAACTGTCACAGCACGTGACAGGATAAAGAGCCGATGTCGATGAATTTCTCACTGCTGTATTACAAATCCTTTTAACATTCAGTGACCTCGTTACGGCTGCACTGATTATTTTCATAGTCGATGAATGTCAAATAATTACTGTTAGTCTATGAAACGTGAAAAAATGTCATCAGTTTCTCTCCAAGGTGTCCTATTTATTTTATATTTTATATTTTTTAATATTTACAATTTATTTATAACAGGAAAACAGAGTCTCTCGGAGAAAATGCAGGTTACAAAATATTTAGCTTTTTCCCCTTTTTTGCTTGATAGATGACTGAAAAGTTTTCAAATGCACCAATAAACTGTCATTTGTTGCCACTCTAGCTCCTAATTTAACCGTATACCGCGGGTGAATCTTGATGTTAAAACTTATCACTGTGCAGCTTTAACTTTTTACATTCACAAAAGCAACGTATAACATGTTTCGCTTATTCATTTTTTCTCTCCTTTTCGCTCTTGTTTCCCTTGCTTCACCCAGTATGGACGCAAACCAAGCGAATGGGCACCGCTGGTCGTTTAAACGGCCGTATTGCACATGCCAAGTTGTATCAACAGTTAGTCCCATAATTCCAGTTTGGACAACCAGCAGCCCCCCCCCTCACCCAACCTCTCAACCCACTAATGCACTCCTGCTTAACTCACCTACCGAGAAGACGGACGCCTCTTTCTCTGTCCGTCTTCTCTGGCAACTTTTCCAGAAGTTCCTTTCTGCTCGGACTCTCATAGGTATATGGTTGGTGGTTTGAATGTAACAGCCCGCTTTGGAGCAATATTAACAACAATATGCAATGTTCTGACTTGACGACAACCCTTAACCTCGAGGTATTTACTGTAAAGTAGGACAAACAGCTGTCATTGGAAAGGTAAAAAAATAAGCAAATTCAAGCAGTCAGATGACAAAAGATATAAAATAATCATAAAGATTAGATGTGACTAGAATGAGTGCATTCACATCTCTAATTGGGTCAATTCGCTTATAGGCTGCACTCCATTCAAGTGTTTTGTCCTTTATAGTCACTTGATTTGTTCCTTGTGAGGAAAGTGCTTCGAGTTAATAGCACAAACGCATATTTTCATCAACACTGCATTCTGGCATTAACAAAAAAGGCACAAACTGACATTTCAGATGTAGGAGGTAAAGTATTTGCAATATTGTTTGCGTGTGTAGAACTTAACATTAGACGGCTTCTTGGCGGAACGCAATCTGTAAGTACTGTTTCTCAACAACAAATGTATTTAAAATGTATTTCACAACAGGAAAAACTTATTTTAACAATAACCTGTACTACTTGCAGCAACCTGTGGTGTTTTCTCTGAAACCTTTTAACTGTTACGTGTGAGTAGTGCCTGTAAACGCATCATAGGATATGTCTCGTTACTGTCGTGTACATAATGATCTGCGAGTACTGCCGTAGTTTTCATGGGGCCATGTCACTTTGACACCAGTTTGCACTGACCTTGTTTTAATGTCAGATACGTATCTGAGCGTGACTCCGCTTTAAGAGAGGAAACATGAGTGGTTTTTATGTTTGTTGGTTTTGTTAGTTAAGAATACGACTGCACAAAAACGAAAGATTTGAGATTTTTTTTTAAAAAGGCGAGGTCTGAGTGAACTTTATCACGCACAAAATGGTCGACAGAAGGCCTACACGCTGTAGAAGAGAAGGACTGTTGGATGCTGGCAGTAACTCCTGCACTAGTTTGTGTGTTAGCATTATGAAAACAATGTATTGTAACAAATAGATTGTTATTTTAGAGGTTTTTAATGATTTTGATGTGAAATTAGTCCGACTGTCTTCCAAAGTACTTGACTGTGTGGCACTAGTGTTTTTCCTTTTTTTTTTTTGGAATGTATTTTTATTTTTACACACATGCTATAGACCTGTTCCTCTCTCTGTCTAAGTGCCTGACCTGTTAGCTCGTTCTTCTGTGGATCTTCAGCTGCTGCTTTGTTTGTTTTCCAGTTTGTGCACTAGGGGATATAGCTGGATTCTTTAAGTAATGTCAGTTTAGTTTTTTTTTTTTTAAATGTGCTGTTACTTTAACTCTGTTGTTGTTTTTACAATAAACCTGATCTGAATTCAGTCTCTCTTTTTTTTGTTCAATCAATCAGTGGTCATTTTTAATATTTATATGCAATGGGAACACTTAACGCTATCACAAAAAGATGCTTTTAGACATTTACAGTTGAACGCAGGGATTTCAACCTCGAATTAAACAGGATTTCCACAAGTCCTGGAAATTTAGACGCTAGTTTTCCAGTCATGGAAACACCTGGACATTTTTTTTTTTTTTTTGTCCTGTAAAATGTTAGTTATCATTTTGGTGATAATTGGTAGCACGTTACTTGTAAAGCTTCCATTCAGATCAAACAGTTTAGTGCTACACTAAATGGAATGGAGCCTTAATAAGTTTCACTGGTAACACCTGTGTTTAACCTATTATTTCATGTCAAAATGGATGCTGTGAAAAAGGTCTGTGTGGTCTGTGTTAAGAAAAACTCCTGGAAAATGAGTGGGACCCCGATTAAAATCTGTGTTTACGTAAAGGAATACATATTCGCTTTCCTGATAGATTTAGCTGTTACACATGAAGCTAACAGCTACCTGCTGCTTAGCTTAGCTTAGCACAAAGACTGGAAACAAAGGGGAAAAGGCAGAACTAGCCGTTTTGTTTTCAGTCGTTATAAACTAAGCTGTGTATTGAATGGACAGATAAGAGTTGACTAATTTAATCTAGCATTAACTCTTCCACAGAAAGCAAATAAACTCGCTTCCTACTTATATTAAGAAACCAAAAACTTTGTCCGTGTTATTTCATACAGCAGTTTAATTGCACTGAGCGACAATGTGACATTTTTATACAATAAAAAAGGTTTGCCATAGATTTACATGATGAAAGTACAGATTTCTTGATGATTAATGTGGTTATTGCCTAGTTTTAGTTACACTGTTGTACTACTACGTCCCATTAATATACATTTTTAAATAACTACACAGAAAATACCCAGGTTAAAGTTTTATAGTTCTTAGAATTGATAGTAGCAGACATCAGAGATTTTGTTCTAGACAAAATGACAGATGTCCGTTTAATTGATGCCATAAAACATCCCAAAACAAGAAGTTAATTACTTTGTACTAAATTATACTGTCTTGTATCGCAGAAGGTAAGTGGATATAGGACCAGTACAGATTTTTTTTGGCAGGGTGGACCCGATGTCACCATGAACCTGAGAGGGTTTTTTCTTTTGAGCAACAGTGATGAATCTACAGTCTAATCCTTCTCTCCGTTTTGGGAGATGCCCCCAAAGAGGGCCGAGGCTTGCTGACCCAGTGGGTTGTAGAGGAAGGCTTCGATCTCTCCTCCACCATTAGCGCTTTTCTGGAAGTGGATTTCAAGCAGATCCTGCAGGGTCTCTTGCTCCATGACTTCAGGGATTCCTGTCAGCAGCACCGTCCGAGGACACACCGACATCTTGGTCTGGAGGGGAAGCGCCACAGGCACAAGTCAGACAGAGCAGGGGTAACAGGACATAGACAATCTGGGAGTGGAAAGCTGCCTTGTGTATTATGGCCTCGCTCACCTGTAGGTTTGTAATATTTCCATTGAGAAAAGGAGTCACCCGCACTTTGTACTTCTTCTTCTTTTGTAGCTCCACTTCATGGTACTCTGTATCTGTCAAACGTTTGGCAACTGATAGAAGAAAGAGTTTCATCAGCTGGGATCCAGACCAAAACAGAACGTAGACACAACATTTTGTAGTGGAAAGTATTCACATTCTGCTGTCCCTTTCAGATGCATAGCCTACAACGTATGTATTATAATACTAATAGTATTGATTTGCAATATGATTTGGAATTAGTGTGGAAATTATCCTTTTTTTGTAATTTTCATTGAAAGAAATCATAATGATGTGATTTGGTCTGTACCAAATAAACATGTTTTCTTAAATTTGGAGGACATTATTTGTAGGCCAGGGGATCACTGCAAAACTCCAGTACTACATTATAATAGCATTTAACCTTTAATATAAGAAAATTGCAGCTTCTACCATTTGGATATTGCACTTGGCCGTATTGCGATTTTGATAATATTTTGATTAATTTTGCAGCCCTAATTAATATTTAGTGTTGTTTGTGTCCAAACTGAACTCCCACGGATTTTCCTATAAATAACATTCAACTCTCTCTCTCTCTCTCTCTCTCTCTCTCTCTATATATATATATATATATATATATATATATTCCATCATAAATAGAAGAGAACGGAGCTTGCTCACTGCTGTTCCCCACGAAGGTGACTACCACAGTCCAAGAGTCAAACATCATTTCACAGTCCTCCACCTCGCCGCCTCCGTTTCTACTCTTTGAGAAGTGGATCTCCAGCTTGCTCAGCAGAGTGTCGCTGTCCATCTTTGGCAGGTTGGAGATTAATATGCGCTGAGGACACACCTCAGAGTCTATCTGCAGGACAGGCAGGCACACATTGTTAATACTGGTCAGACTCCTCGAGGTTAGAAACATTCTGATTTGGCTCGTTCAGTATTTTTGCTGTACCTCCACCAGCCTGGGCATCATCAGCTGAACTGGTCTGGCCTCCACAGTGATGCTGCATTCTCCTCCCAGATCCACCTTATGCTTCTTAAGTTCCAGGATCTTCCCAGCCACTGATGACAGAGGTAACACAGTTATTCAGAACCACAATGATCAGCACCACCAGCTGAGCAGGAGGTGCACAGGTTGACAATAAATGCCTGTCAACTCATCACCAAGTGCACAGAGTGGCTAGCTCTGGTAAGTTATAGTGATAGTGTTGCCTTACTAAACATTTCACAGGGCCTCAGAAGTCCATCAACCAAAGCAAATATACAGTAAAACATGGACGACAATAACAATAACCCAAATCTGTCTTACACTATAATGAAAACATTGGAGCAACCATAATGTGTCTCTGTAATATAAGAAAAGTCCATGTCAATTCTTCCAGGAAATATAATGAAGCTGCCCTTTGTAATCTACTGTGTGGGCTGGTTCTACTTGAGGATATGGAGACTGAGATCAATACGGACCCATTACTCATTTTTGCTTCCCCCTTGTGGCTTAATCTGGCCGTGCAGGCAGAGCTGCCTTCACACATGTTTTCTGTTTATTAAGTTACCCAATGTTTTAACTTGTTTAGCCAATAAAACCAACAAATTTAGCCAATGCATTTGTAACTGACCAAAACCAAAGTCCCTGTGTGTCATCCGAGACAGTGAAACTCTAATGAAGCACCGTATATATATATATGCTGCAATATCCCATTTGGATTAATAAAACACTTAATCAACGTATTTATATCTACTTTCATTGAGTTGGTCCACTGGGTTGTAATACTATCAGTACTGAGCGGATAGGGTTATTGGCCATGTGTGACCACTAAATATCAAATATCAATGTCATTGCAAAATTCTGCATTTCCATTATATTATAACATTTACTGATGCATAATACTGTGTTATTTATCACTTTCTGGCATGTTCTGGATCAGTAGTTGATATCTGCAAGTACCTCAAGGTTCAGGTATCAGTTCAGTGTTCAAACCTAGTTTTTAAATAAAAGTGAAACTGAACTATAGCTACATTTACTAATACATTTTGTAGCTTGACATTTTTATTGAGAAGCACCAGTTGCTTGATTTAAAGTAAATCAAATAAAGCCAAGAAAAGCAAAAATCATTTTCGGCCCACTCCACAGATCCCATACTGGAGAATATTCTCATCCAGGAAGCATTTTTTTAAATCCCGCAGAATTAACAAATGCAGATGAGTGAAAACATCGCTGTCAGCAGCTTTCTGACAAACTCACCTACTTCTTCCTCAAATGTAATCAGTGCCGTTCCCTCCTCCATCGGATAAACTATACTAGGTTCCATCTCAAACGTTTGTGTATCGCATGCCTTTCCTGTCGACCCCATGAATACAACCTTCCTCTCTGGTACAGCAGTGAACACCTGAAATCAAAAAGGTTCATGAGACATGTCGTGGATGGATGACTGCAGACGGCGGTGTGTTTTAGTGAACGTAAACGTACTTCAGTCTGCTGTTTCAGATGGCGGTTTTGCGCCTCTTCCCCCTCTAGGATTGCCTTTACTTTGTCAATCTCCTTCATCAGTTCTGGCTCCTCCTGGCTGAGCAAGTTCAGCTTCGCCTGCAAGACAGAAAAACTTCAGATACAACAAAGTACTGAGGAAACGCAACCTATAATTACATCTAATCAACGGTACCCATATTAGATTATGATATTATCCTTTTTATCTCTATTTAAAAAGGTCCCATATTGTAGAAAGTGAGAGTTCCATGACTTTTTTAAGTAGTAAGCAGGTTTAGCTGCTATAGAAATACTGATCAAAACACTCGATCCACAGAGAAATGCACACAGCCCGTATTCAGAAAGTGTGCCTTTAACCGAGCCCTGAGGACTTCCGTAAGGCTGTGACATTGCAACTATACAGTCACCACCCTCAGCTATGCTCCTCCAACCGCGGCCCACCTGACCCACCACCCAGGTAGACTACAATCCGTTATCTGTGGTCATCAAATCAGAAGAGTTCAGAGACAACATGCAAAACATAATGATATATTGAGATATATCTTCTTCTGGATATCAAAACTTCAAATAAAACACCAGAAAAGTGTGTTTTAAATTGTTAACCACATTTTAATTACTATAAAATTGCTAGTCAACTAATTTTCACACACTGTATTATTATGTAAACTAATACATCTTAATAATCTTCTCATACTGTCGTCATATATATTATAGAACTGATAAAATTCCAGTATCTATGACACATTTCAGCCTGAATTTAAATTGGAAAATGATTTGTTGTACAAAAACCAAAAGTACAGGGAGGCTATTTGTAATTTTAGAGTGAACAACACGAGAATTCCTGTGATCATTCGAAGATATAAAGGGCTGGATAGAAACCAGACGATCTACAACCTCTGTAATGACAATCGTTCAGTGGATGAGTCATATTTTGTTTGAATGTAAGAATGTAACCATAATGAACAAATAGAGAAATTGAATTTGTATTTAAACTCCCCATCTACGTTTAAAAAGGAAGGATGATTTCAAGAATGTCCTTCCTTTGTTTGAGTAACATTTGTTGTACTTTAGCCATGCAGTGTGCCATCATTTTATTATTACTGCATATTCTGTTTACGCTCCATACCATGTGATCATGGTCGTAAGTTATGATAAGTAAGTAAGTAATAATTAAATGAAACCGCCAGCAGCCTTGAAAGAAAACAGCAACATGTCATTTTTTTACACTTATTGCGTAGATTAAACATTTTATTTTTTAATGGACAGCCATGAGAGTGCTTTTGAGCTTCTCATCTAATGCCAGAAAGCAATGTAAGCATACGTTTAAAACTGCAACCAATTATTATTGTCATTAAGGATGAATCTGATGATTATTTTCTCCATTATAACAATTGTTTGAGCCGTAACATTTCTAAAAGTGAGAAATGTGGCACTTCTGGTTACACCCTACCCTAATCAGTGATGTGTGAGCAGGTGTTGTCCCATCAAGCACCTGGAATAGGGCCAAAATTGCCACTTACTGTAACAAGATTTAACCCATAGAGTGCGGTAGGGCAGCAGTTCGATGCCCACTATATCAGCTTTATCTCGTAATATATTAGTACAAGTTATTAAATCACCTGAACGGATTTAGATCCCCTTAAAGATCCACTTCAGACATGTTTTATGTCATAAAAATACTACTGTGAGCAAAGGGAAACTTTCCTCCTTCAGTAGATGAATGTGAAAACAGCCTTCTAGTGTCATTCTGAAACATCCACATACAACAACAAGAAAACACATTTTCAGAGCGGAGAGGCCTCTTTAAAAACAGATCCTTACCGTCTCCTTTTCAATGTTCTCCTTGTAGGTGTTCTGGTCCTCTTCCTCACTCTGGGTCAGTTTGTCGATGCGCTTCCTGAACTTCTGAACCATTTCCTGCTGGTCATCTCTGGTGGCGACCAAGTCCTTCTGCTCCTGGAGAAGCAGCTCATATTGTTTCTGTGGACACACAAGCGTCATCCATTAACTTTTACTGGGGTTTTTTGGGGCTTTTTTTAAATGTACTTTGCCAAAGTTAGTGAAGAAAAAAGATTTTCTGTGCAACCGTTTTTAAACATTTCCCCAAATTCATTCATGTTTCAGCATCTTTGGGCCTTTGGGAGCTTGAATTTGGTTTAAGTATTAACCCACTATTCTCTAATTAAATGCATCAAAGTCTTATATTCTTCTCCTACTTTTCATTTTGTTCAAGCGCTTTCTGTCGGCTACATTACGCCTCTACTGAGTATTCAGAGCCAGGAGGCCATATTTGTTAAGGCTGAAACTGCAAATGGAAATTATCAGATGTCTTTAAGTTTCCTCGTACTTCAACATGTAATGTTCTGTAATGTTTACAGTGATGGACTGAACAGTGGATGTGACGGGGTTAAAGTTGATGTGTGTTTCACATGGTGGTTCAGTGTCATTTCAACATAATTTAAACTTAATCACACAGATAAAATTATTGTTGATTCAAGTTTTTCATACTAGCTCATCAAAACTAGATTACAGCTGACATTTTCCATATTACATTAAATATGACATCTTATATAAATGTATTTATGTTGGCATCTGTACAGAATGTATTATTGAAAAATGTATGTGGTCCTAAATTAATGAAATATACTTAGCGAACTTAACTTTGTGTGTCTGTCTCTTTCTATGTGTGTGAGTCACAACTCTTCACCTATATTTATCTGAAGTCTCATATTAACCCAGATCTGTACATTCTGTTCTCATTCAGTGCTCCTGAACAATGCTGTATTTGTTATCTTATGTCATGCTCTGTGCATATAAACCTGTTACTTTTACAGCCACATGACCACAGGGATCGGTAAACTATTATGTATTTTAGGTGTAAACCCTGTGAACATTACACCAGTCTCTGATAAAGTCATGAACTGTCAGTGCACCTTGTAGTTGGCGATTGAAGCCTCAATCTCCTCTAAGGTGGTCTTGGATGGATCCATCACCAGAGAGAAATCCTAAAACACAAAAGACACACAACATGACAACACCTCACATCCTTAATATATTATATTATATATATTAATGTGAATGATCCATCAAGATCCAGGGTGTGCAATGCAGAGTTTTACAGTTACATAAGTTAATAAAATCCAACACAGTTTCAGTTATTTGTTATAGGAATATTATGTTTGATCTGTTTTTAACAACATAATAAAAGAACAACATCATGAAAACAGGAAGAAGCAAAATGACGTCTCACCTCGTCTGAAGACATAGTGAAAGTAACCTGGAATAATTCACATAATATTAAAGCTTCTACATGATGTCAACCACAGTCAGTGCAATGAATATACACTATAAGAATATGACTAACAAAGACTGTGTGTGAATACAGATAAACACCATAAACCGATAGAGATACACAGTAGGCCTTTCTCTCACGTACACAAATCAACACCTCAGCGGCTCTTACAATACTTAAAAACGTGTCAATAACTTTAAATACGTCGCATTCAACAAGACAAGCTTTCACGTTACACCTACACCGTCGTTATATCTATGTGTTTAACTCAACTTTACTAGTTTTTACTTAAACGCAGCTGGGTAACACCTTACCTCCTCGACGGCTCTGGGTCTAAACACTGAAATCACTTTTATTCTTTCACTTTCTTTTCCCCAGCAGCCCTGAACGTGTCCGCTTTCTCCAACAGGGGGCGCTGCAGCCTGTTAATCTGGGACACGTGGGTTGCTGCGTTCAGGTTCGGCCGGAAATATCAAGTATATCCAGCTGCAGCACCAGCACCCTTCATTCAGGTGTCATTTTCATTTCCATAAAACCATTTAATGGCCCTGAATGTCTTGTATGAAGGCATTTGTCGTGTTTCTCCACTCTTGTCTTGTCTTGTCATACTTGCTGCACAGGTATCTTAAAGGTGAACCTTGAGCAGGTAACTCAGGTGCTGTTAGGTTGTGGGTGACTACATATCAAACATACTTAGGTCTCAGGTAATATATAAATACAATGGTGGAGACATGACACTATTACTATTAACACAGCAACACTATATACTGATGAATGAAGGTCCAATATTCACACTTTTAGCTGTTTTTGAACTCCTGAGGGAAATATCTGGCTCTTTAGATGCTGAACTGTCCACTATGTTCACCAGTTAGTCTGTGTCAGTCTGCTGTTTGGTTCTGAGCAGGCAGAGTTTTTAAAGCGGCAGCCAAAAACAACACAATGACAGTGTGAGGCTGAACCAAACGCAGTAAAGTTTGCAGAGAAACAATGAGCTCAAACTCACTATAAAGGCCATTAAAGCCGAATTATGAATTCCCTCTTTCCTCGATCATATTGGCTGCAGTATATTAATACATTCCAGTTTATTACCTGCATAAAACACATTTAAAGTGTTTAATTTGTCTTTATGCCATTATTCAGCTACAGCTTGTGTACTTCAGTGTTCCCCAACAGTGATTTAGGTTTAAGGTTGCAGCCTGTTTACTTTATTCTTCATCACCTTTATTACAAACAAATAGACTTTACCATAATTGAGTCAACTATTTCATTAACAGATTAACTGAGACAATATAAAGTACATATATTTGCCTGGTAGAAATGTATTTGTCCCATCACAAAACAAATCAGGTTTTATTTCAAATACTGTGAGGTTTATGAGACAACACATGTACCAGGTGTGATTAAGCTTTGAACAGATTCCCCAGTCACATTTTGAGAGAATTTAGTAAATTTCAGAAGTCTTGACTAAACATAAAAGATCAATACTCAAGCTAAAAATACAGATCACCTAATTTTCTGGGGACTTGGCAGAGACGGTAATAATACTTCACAAAAACACAACATTGACGGCTGCCACATCGGTTCAAAAGATAGAAATTGTCAATAAAGAGTCAACAGTCAGAATCCATTTTTAAACATTTATTTGTGAAACCAGTTGAAGTTAGAATCTGAGCTTCTGGAAGAACCACTTGTTCTTGCCCGTCTTGTACCTGGAAACAAAAACAAAAAAGACACGTTGCACATTTGTTCTGAAAACACACATGAATAAGGTTAACTGCATCAAAACTAGAATCTCACACTGTAGCAACTGGAAGGCTTTTTGGTCTAATTAAATAGACTGCTTATATAGCTCCTTTCTATTTTTTGGACCACTCCAAGTGCTTTACACTGTCACATTCTGCCATTATATGCTAGAATAAACAGCATCTGAAGGTCCAATTTGATGTTCTTGAACAAGTAATCATTTCAGTTGTCCTCTGAAGCATACACTTATTAAGATCTGGACACAAAGCCTAAGTGATGTTAAAAGAAAAAGACTTCAACAGAACTACTAACACAGGACTCACCTCTCCTCAAACTTGACCTTGGCCTCCCGCCTGGCTTTGCGCTTGAGAGCAGGATCCCTGAAGACGTCCTTGTTGACAACAGTTTTGTCCAGAGGAATATCCACAGAGTATCTGAAGGAGAACAGACAATCATTATAAGGAAGGTTTACTGAGCAGAACCAGTTTTACATTGGTACCAGTACACATTTACAACTGGAAGCTTGTTGATGCAACCAAGCAGTCTAAGATTAGAAAGTATCACACATGAGCAGCTGCAAAGTAGCTGAAGATCATTATTTTATCACTCTCATTGGGTGTCCCACCCCATGACCTTGCAGAGGAATTTAACTGTTACTTCAAGTTACACAGCTGATTAAAAAGGGAGCGAGATTTAATTCAATAACCACTCTTAACTTTGCCTCACGAGTAAATATGTTAGTGTGCTCTATCCTACAGGGTGTTTCTGAACATGATGTTCAACATTACTCCAGGATAAGAACCAAAGTACATTTTAAGCCACATTTACACAACCTGACATTAAAACTGAACCGATTCCTGCATCTGGACACAAAACTGCTTCCATGGGTGAGATGAGTGAGGGAATTTATTATTATTCTGTAAGAGTGCTTAAAATGTATTTGAGATGCAAAAACCTGGAATCTGAATCCATCAATTGTTAAACAGCTCCTGGTAAAATCTATATTTATATACATACACAATGTTTGGAATGTCTAATGTTTATACTGACACGTTATGTAAGTTGAAACTAGTTTGTAAAGTAAAGAAGTTTGATGAGAAACAGTTATAACCAGAATTAATGTTTAAATGATGGATCGGACACAAGTTTCTCACTTTTAACTTATCAGCTGCCGGTTTCTGAAGATTTTATTTCCTCCTCTGACTTCCCAATTTAAAGTTTTCCAACAATGACAACCTGAATTATCCTTAACAAAAGAAACTTCAGGCGTCTCCTGATTAATTCAACAATCTATAGGTTTATTATGGCCATCTGTTTTAATATCTGACAATCTGTTTCTCTCAGTTCAATATGGCGATTGAACACCAGCCATGACTCTGCTATTGACAAGCAGCCCGACAGCAGCGTGAATCAGGGCTGTACCAAATTCAGGATGCTTTGTCATTGCAGGTGGGAACAAAACATTGCTCCATCACAGGTTTCTGCAAAGAGTAGCCTAGCTTTAACTCACCACGTACAATCATTTGAACACAATACACCTTTAGGAGTTGTATTGACAGCTCTCATTTTACAGTCTGCTTATCTTTTACACTGATTTATTAAGGACAGTTTCATGTACACTCAAGCCTTAAAGTGCTTCAACCACCAGTCGCCTCTTCAACAAGATATATGTTGCTTATCTACCTACCGACACATTTGTATCGCTGGAGAATTAAGTACTTAAAGTTTGCTATTGCACATTAGTACAATGTCCAACATTGCCGCCACCCAAATGAGCATTAACACGAGACACTGACCTGGTGGGCATGAGGTGGTTGTAGTTGAACACCTTGACGAAGGCCTTGATCTTAGACCTTTTGGCAATCTTCTTCTTGCCCATGGTTGTGGTCACCTTACGGGGATAGCGGTCGATGCCTGCGACCAAAGCGTGGCTGTAAGGACGGTCGGTTGTTCCGTCATCAATGTTCTGCAAACAGACATTAACACAGGACTGTGATAAGACACTGATCATCTACAATGACAAGAAAAAACAACATTTGAGATCATGAATTAACTAGTATACATGTTGACTCTAGAGCATGTTTATATTGGGTTAAGTTCATGATTAATTTGCCTCATTAAGAAGCAGACAGCCACCCAGGAGCCATGTTTTACCTTCACTATGACCGCTTTGCGTCCAGCGTAGCGTCCAGCTAGGACCATCACCACCTTCCCAGGCTTCATGAACTTGCCCATGTCTACCACAAAGAAAGAAAGAAAGAAAGAAAAACACACAGTCAACTCATGTGGCACCACGACAAAGTCAATACCTCTAGCTATGAAACGGATTTTAGCTCATTTCCAGAGATTAAAGCATTTAATTAGCTGTAAACTTCGCAGAGAGTGCAGCTACCGCTGGTTAACTTAGAGTAAAGCAAAAATGGCACTCGTAAATATAAACCCGTCCTCTCTAAGAGACGGTTCACACTCGGACTGTGTGTCTACATGAAGGAAGCTGCCATGTTGAAACGAGCCCAACGGAGAAGAGACGCTGCACTAACTGCTCGTTTTCTTCCTTCGTCAAATGAAAACACACGAAAATAACGCGGACATCTTGGCTAAAGGAGTGACTGTCGTAAGTGTGATGTGATAAAAAACTATAAGTTTGGCCAGATTTGGGGCGATGGATGAAGATTGTTTCGAGGGAGATCTCACTCACTGATGCTGTTCTACGGCCACCGCTAACAGGAAAAGGAAGTAGGGAAGGTTTGTTTCAACTTTGACCCTGCGGATCGGCGTACGTCACGTCCGGGTGAAGACTTTTTCTGTTTATATTTATTTTAAATGTAAAAATAAATAAATAAATAAAAAAGCATCACACATGTTATTTAAAGGATTTGATTTTGAAAAAAAAGATACTTTAAAAAAATAAATTATGAACACTAATGAGTCGGATGGCACATAAATTGTAGTAGTTCAGGTGTATCATCTATTTTGCACTTATTTTATACGTCACGTCACAGTCTGTCAATTAAACCACTTTTTCTGTGAAATATTTTTATACAAGAATCCATTTCATATATGGGAGAGCTTGGACAATATAAAAAACATTGTGTTTTCGTCTACCTCCAGTAGGGGGTATCTCCACAGCTAAAGCACTTTTGGGGTCTTTCCCTTTGCCTATAGGTGTGGATCTTTCCACTTTTGTGATGTTTTTCCCGAAGTAAAATATTAAGTATATGTGGCAATACCTCAAGGTAAAGTAACTAGTAAAAATACAGAAGTATTAGCAGCAAAATATACTAGAAGTATTAACATTAAATGTACTCCTTATGCAGAATGACCCTGTCAGTGTGGTATTATATTGTTTTATTATTAAATACGAATACATTGCATTATGCTTCTGTGTTGAAGCTGGTAAAGCTAATTTTAACTAATTTATATACTATTGGGTAATTTAATGTATCACAATAAACCACATTTTATAAACGGATTATATAGTTGTGTTATGTAAAGTCTTCAAAGCACTCACTTACTAACTTCGGCTAGAAAATAAATGTACCGGAGGATGGATAACTGTATTCTGCTCATTAACCAAATTGTAAAATTACTATAGGAGCTGCAAAGCTAAAAACAAAGAACAGAAAATACAACTAACTTACTAATTTTAATTTTAAGTCCATGTTTCTGAATGTGCCTTTTGCACTTCAAATTTTATTTTTTTTAATTAAAATTAAGTATTTATCTAACAAATACAATGGGTGTCGTATTTAGGATGTTCTGTCACCCTTGTTCTGCATGAGATGTGTTCAAATAAAGCTGGAAAAAAAGGTTTGCCATTAAAACAAAGCAAAATACATAATGTGTAAAGGATAAAGACTCATAAGCAGCACAGTGGTCTTTTTACTATATTTAATTGTTTACAGCTGTAGGTATGCATTAAACATGATAAAAACCAAAGAATAAACATAATTCACATATCCCAACATATAATTTGTGATTGAAGCAACAAAATAAAAATAACATAAAAAGCACAATTTAAATGATTGTGTGTCTATTGTGAACAATTACAGTTCAACAGCTACTTTAACAAAGTGTTCCGATATGTTCTAAAACATGCTTTCCAATAAATAATTGTCTCTTTACATAAATCACAACATAAAAGCTGAACAAAACACAACGAAAAATGGGACAATAGAAAGCCAAATATATCATTATATTTACTACACATCGCCCAAACAGAACACAAAGTCTCATTTACACAGTAACATAAAATAAACGATAAAATGTGTCTCTAGTTGCACTGTTATGGAATCAGGTTTTTATCTCAGGAAACACAAATATAGTGATCTTTTATCAGCGCACCTTCCGTCAGAGGTTTGATACATACATGTGGGCCCAGGAACACTGAAGTTTCAATCCCATAAACAATGGGGAAACATACAGAAGATATAAACTAACCTCAGTTTAATAGCATCTATGGTTTGTACATTCAGTATTTAAGGATATCATACGTGCAACTCAGCTGTCTCAGGAAGATAAAAACAAATTTCTCTGAAAAACGGGAAAAAAACTAAACATTTTATATCCTACATTTATGTTACATAATGAGATGCAAGCAACTACATCATTAAATAAATCCCTATCATACAATGTCACTGTCATTTAATTTTAAACTACACCTGGAATAGGAGAAAGCAGCAGTTCATACAGGGTCTAATTGTTGTTCACACACCTGAAAAAAATCGTGCAAGAAGTGAAAACAGCTTCACAGGTTTTAAAACGGAGTCAAGAGCGCATTAAAATAGCTGCATAAGTTTACACAACACTTTAACTTTGTGCATTATGATGGAAACTGCAAGACACGTTCATTTCAAGTTGACCTGAGTACTGCTGTTCAGCTTTACGATCAACTGCTACACATGATTTACCACCTAAATAATGAAGTCAGTGTGAACAATGGAGCAGTACAAGCACCGACGAGGACCAATACATCACAAGCTCCTGGTTACCGTGTAGAAGCCACAGCATCGACAGGTGTTTCTGCTCATTATACGTCTTCCTGGATTGCCTTAAGTGGCGACAACGTTACATTACAGTAGTGATTACTGTACGAATCCGCCCTCTCTCTTTGCTGCATAGGTTAGGGCGCTATGACGTACACAGGGGGGGAATGATGAGCACAGGTTGCAAAGGTCAGGAAGGCTTCACTTAAAGATGAGGTAATCTCAATCTCCATTCTAAGGCATGTTTACAGTACAAGTAGCATTTGTCATGTTGACATTTTGGCATCTTAAACACAGTGGGACATGCAGATTATGGATGCTTATAGCTGAAGCTCACACAACATAATCATCCATGCATTTACTGCAGACGTCACACACTTGCACTTTACTTTAGATGGGTGGCTACTTAAATAACCTTTAATAAAGGTTGAATACTTGAAGCACAAAGTCATGCTTTTGGTCCTGAATACCAGGTAAGAGCAGTGTAGATTAGCTGATAAAATACTTGATTTCTCTGACTGGTGTTTCTTTACTTTTCATGGATTTGTTGCCTGTTTTGGTCCCTCCTCAGAAAGCATCCTTAATGTTCTTCAGCTGCCGAACAGCCAGGTCCACCGGCAGGTTGAATTTGAGGTGGCTGATGCGGCCCAGGATCCGCAGCGCTCCTTCAAAGCCGGTCTGGGCCATGTAGCTCCAGGACTGGTAGTGCGGGTGTATCAGAGTCCCGGACTTACACAGCAGGTTGAGCCACGACACCAGCCGCTGCTCGTTCAGAGCCATGCACACCAGCGCTTTGAACTCTGTGTCTGGTCCCCGTTTGTAGCGTCCGTGCTCCTTCAGCACAGTGTGAATGGCCCACAGCAGGGACTGTTTAGGGGTGACGGTCACCGGGCCGCCCCCTACAGGCAGGCTGAAGGACTGTGAAAGCTGGCGGGCCGGTGACTCCACAAAGGCCTTCCCGTTTTTGGAGTGGTAGTATTTAACAAAGAGTTCCCAAGGGTGCATGGTCTGTGGGGCTGGTCTGTAAGGCAGCAGGCAGGAGATGGGTGCCAGCACCAGGCTCATGGTCTGGGAGGGGGAGAAGAGGCCGTGAGCCAACAGGTCTTTGAGAGCAAATGCCAGCTCCTTCCTCACAGTCGTCGTCAGCTCGTCTCGGGGTCCCAGCGCCGTGTTGCTGGTGTAGTTGACGACATGGTCGAGGGAGGGCTGTCTGCAAGAGCCCAGCACTCGCACCTTATCGACAGCTGCCTCCAGACGCTGCAGCAGGGGCCCGTAGTCCTGCCCTGTCGACTCCTGGGGCCATATGTTCTGAGGAATGTGTCCCGGTGCGCAGCCGAACTGGCTTGCGGCGAAGATCTGCAGCACGGCGAGGGCCTTCTGGATCAGCTGCAGGCCGGTCTCTCGCATCTTCTGGGCCTGCTCTGGGTCCACTGCAGTGAGAGGTGGACAACCACAAGAATATACTTATATTGGACAGCAAAACTTATTAAGAGCTTACCAGTTAATACACCTTTCAAAACAAACATTAAGGTAATTTGTTGAACACTAAATTTTGATTGCCTGTCTGTGAGGAGCTCCTCGATCTGATATTAATATTATTGCTGTAGTATTTTATGTGTTGTAGCTAAAATTGTAGTCTTGACTAAGACAGCTGTTACATAAAACTGAGCTTTGCTGCAGAACAGACACCATATTGTCCGCATCTTCCAGCCATCTGTGGTCCAATATTTTCTTTTCTTTTTTCGTACTTTCCGTTCACAGTTGATACAATATATTGGCTTCATCTCTTTATGTAAATATTGTTGAGGAAGCTGCAGGTAGAGTTCGATATGAACTGACTGACCTTTCTTCTTCACTCCTGGAGTTCTGGCATTGGTGCCTGCTGCTTGTGGCTGCTGGCTGTGTTCACCATCTGATAAGAGAGGGTTCCCTACCTCATCTTTTGAAAGGGGGAAATACAAAGTCATTCATTAAACCAATAAAACAATGACAACAAGCAATGAAACAGGACAATCTCATCCACCTGGATGCCAGTGTGTACTGTATATGAGACTGTGTACCCTGGATGAAGTTGATGAACATCTCCAGGTCTCTGATCTGGGTTTTGAGCTGATCCACAAGCTGCTCTTTGACCCTGGCTGGGTTCACTATCTGAGCAATGGCAGCGTCCACTCTTTGTCTCAGCTCCTCGGGCGACGCGTTCCCGATGTCCTCGTTCAGGTTCACATCCAACTTCTTGATCAACTCGTCAATGATGACCTGGAAAAAGAGAGCAAAGACAAGGTTAAAGAATAGACTTACTGTAGGCTATACATAGGTTTAACATAAGTGGAGAATTTATTTGTGGTGGTAGATTTCTAATGGTGTTGGTGGGAAGCTCCATTATCTGACACTAAATAAACAGTTTACAGCACTACATTCATTATTATAGTGTTGTTTTCAATTGTGATATTTATTATTGACTAAACAAATAAAAAGGCATGTTTTAGATGGGCCAAATGTATCTGGATAAGCTCTGCAAATAGATTACCTTTATGAGCAACACAAAAATACACTAAAACTAAAAACTGAAGCATTTTAAGAACAGACGTTTGACTTGTTACACCTGATCTGAAACAGGTAAACATCACTTTAAGTGCTCAACATAACAGGCTATTCAAGATCATTTGGATTTAGCACAAGATCATAGATTATATCTGTGTGCTTCTCATATGGGATGTTGTAATTCTCTCTTTCTCTAATATAACAAGCAATTAATCAATAAGTATGGGGATTGTCGGCTGATCAGACAGTGCGAGCATTTCATTGCCTCGTTCCCACCTTCTGCCTCTCCATGACGACAGACTGCGGCAGCGAGTCATAGCTGCCTTCCTGATAGGCGAAGCGCTCCAGATCATCCAGCTGTGTCTTCAGTTGGAAAATGAGATCCTTCTGTTTCTCCCTCTGAGCCTCCAGGCGCTCCCTCTTCTCCCTCTCACTCTGACAGGAGAAACACACACACACACACAATGATTTTAATTCCTACAGACAGAGCGCGCTGAGTGACCACAGTACCGCACTGAACATTGTATATGAGACGTTGACCAATGTGAGATTTTTTCCTACCAAAATGTCCTTATTACTTGTGTCACAACATTTATACACAAAGTACACAAACCCAAACTCTCAAAAGAGACGTCAGGTTTCATACTCACCAGATCCTCCTGCAAGTAAAGCATGCGACAAGGGAGAAATGACATGAAAGAAAAGACCTTTAGGATACACAATGAGCAACAACTGCAAACAATTATGACGTGAGGCCGAGGCTTTTGCTTCAGTTAAGACTAAATGTAAAGAGGCAGGGAGTAAACAACAGCGGGGACAAAGCAGGTTGCTTGAACGTCGTTGTGTACACAGAAACCTTTATTAAACAGATAGTGATCTGCTGGAGGCATTTTCATTGAGCCCGCAGCCCCGTGACTCACACACAAGTGGCAGAAAGCTACACTTTCCATCGGAGATAAGAAATCTCTGGGAACAAAAACAGAGGTGGGCGCAGCAGTCTCCAGCGTGACGCAACAAGCACGCTTTAATCAGTTTTAATAACCTTACAGCCACTGAGGGTTAACAGACTCACTCAGCGTGTGTTTGTTTATATTTATACCCATTCATTTATACCTGGATGTGGGTACAGAGTGTCCATCTAAGCGTCCAACTGCAGATTAGTCTATCAATGTTAAGTAAGTGTGGGGATCTACACGACTAACATGTTGACTAGACCTGCAACTAACCACTTTCATTGTTGATTAATCTGACAGCTACTTTCTCAAATCATGGATTATTAATGGTTTAATAAAGTCAGAAATAGTGAAAAGTATAAGTCACAATTTTCTAAATCCCTAAATTACATTTACAAATTGCCTGTTTTGTCCAACTAAACAGTCTGAAACCCAGAAACATGCAGCTAACTGTCACACAAAAAGAAGAAAAGCACCAAATCCACTCAGTTAAGAGGCTTCGGGAGGGAGTGTTGTGCACCTTTGCCTCAATAACAAATTAAACAGTTAATCGATTATCTGAATAGCAGCAGTTTATTTTTTTGGTCCACTGACAATTTGATTTATAAACTAATTGTTTCAGCTCTAATGCTGACACACACACACACACACACACACACACACACACACACACACACACACACACACACTCTAGTTAATCTCCCACCTGTGGCCATGGATGGGAATAGAAAAGCAGTGTAATTACAGCCCAAACCTGCACTGTGATGTAACAGGGATGATTAAAACGAGAATAAAAGGACTTTCCATCAACTTGATGCCATGCTGTCAAAAACACAAGGAAATGATTTTAGATGATATGTTTCCTGGTGCGCACTCAGAGTGTGTGAAAGATCACGGTGGTTGTGTTATGTGGTACCAGAAACCTCACCGAGTTCTCCAGCTGTTTGGCGTCCTGAGCCCTGCAGCCCACCACATGCGGGCAGCCCCTGAAGGCGAACTCCTCCAGCTCGGCCAGCATCCTCTCCTTCTCCTCGCTCTGGGCGTGAACTATCTGCTTCAGTCGGAACTGCACCTGAGCGAAGTGCGAGGTGAGGGCGAGGAGAGAGGAGTTCAGCAAGTCCTGCTCCTCCTTCAGCTTCTCCAGCCTGACGGCCATTACCTCCTCGGTGGCCGAGGACGAGCCCCTCTGCCTCGGCTGCCCGGCGCTCCGGCTCTCATCCTCGGGACTTGCCACAGCGCCGACCGGTGCCCATCGCTCCCCCGCGCCGGCGAAGACAGCCTCGCTGTCCGAGGCTGACAGCTCCTCTGTGGACATTGTGGATGACGGAGATCGCTCCAGATGTTTAACTACGTCGCCAGTTTATTCACAGTCTGCTCCAGATGCTGTGTTTTTCTTGTATTGCGCAGACAACAACAAGGATCAGCGCCGGAGAAACAGGTGTAACGCCATCTTGGGAAGGATGATTCATACGTCAAAAGCGGAGACACGTCAAACCACCTGGATGCAGCCGGGAAAGCGCCGGAAGTAGGACACGTTTGTCTTCAGAATAAAAGCTCTGTTGTTACATTAAAGGCCGGGTTAAAATGTAAACTCTTGTGTAGCCTATTGTGCTTTCTGTGGTGGAAGTTGTCTGATTATCTACTTAAGTGAAAGTAGCAAAACTGCAATTTAAATATACTCAATTACAAATAACATTCCTGCATTAAAAATGTAATTTAATTAAAAGTACAGAACTATAATCAGCAAAATGATAATACTCATACTAGCCACTGTGTAATATATTGTACATTCATTGAGAAAATTTCATCAAAACACCATTTCTATTTAAATTACGGAGAAGAAGTTTTGTATAATAATTAAATAAGTAGGGCATATTATTTTAGAAAAGTGCTTTGTGTCTTAAATGTTTCATTTTGATAAAATAATATATTTTAAAGACTTTATAGAACTTAATAATGATAATTAAGCTACATAAAATTCCACTAAATGATTTACTGAATAGTGTGTGTAGTTACAAACCACATATATAATTAAAAAATAATAATTTTATGTTTATTATGTATTTATTATTCATACTTATACCCATTACCTGTAGTCATAGATAGCTGGAGCTGCACTAGTGAATTTCTTTAGCACAAATGTTAACACAATTCAATTGTATAGCTTAAAGTATTGTAATATACAGATTTTAATATGATCTCTCTCTAATATTTAATTTCTTAATTCATGTTACCTACTTCATTTAAATACTACTTTTCTATTTACTCACCTGTAAGCCTGCCTCCTGATTAAACAGTCGTTTCAGAATAAATGCTTTTATTTTGAAGTGGGCAATGGGAAGTTTTGATTTCTATATGTACTCTAATTTACACTGCTCACAAAGGGGAGGCGCCATAAACTCAAATAATAATCCGAAACCACTAAAGAAAAAAAAAAAAAAAACGTGACGTGAAAAAGGCTCAAACAGTACGTCAGCCTAAAAACTGGAATTCCATCCCGGATCTAAAGATGAGGAAAAAGAGGCTTACATAATGTTTTCATAATTTACACAAAGGTTTAGTACACCTGCTTTGTTTAACAGGTTTTCTTTAAACAGTCGTATTTTTATTGCCAGACAAGAAATGTTAATTTTAAATGGTCTCTCTAATGAAGGCTCCTTCATGCCTTTAAGTCACTTCACTATAAAACTCTGAATGATCCAACAAGTTGTGATGTTGTAACATTAAAACTTCTTTATTAGTTTGATGGAATATGAGATCTCTGACTCTGACTGCCAGAGATGAAGCTGCACCAAGCACGTATATCTCCATGTCTGCCTCCTGGTGTTTGTTCAATTAACACAAGTGACAGTAAGATGCACACAATTAAAAACAGTTTTGATTTTAAACCATCATTCCAGCAAAGTTGACAAATAAGTAATGCCTTACAGATATGATGCCACAAATATATCTGAACACTCAGATAAACCAAGGACTGGCAAGAAAACTGTACTGCAGAAGACTTATATTCAAAATGATATGAATATGAATGATAGCGTGTTAAATTATGCCCCAAATTGTGACTGATTATTGACAGAGAAGTGCACTTTGCGACACAAGGCAGTTGAAGCAGAAAATACAGAAACAGATGACTGACAGTGAATAAAATAATATTGCCTGTGGAGTGTTTCAGTTGACCTTTGTTATGGATGGAGTAGAGTTTTATGTAGTAAACTGTGTGCTTGGAATAACATGGATCTATCTGACTTTGAAACATATGACATACATGTTTTTAGCAACTCCAAGATCACAGAAAAATATCATGCAATTCATTTTAACAATGTCCCCTTCACCCTTTTCTACTACTGTCCTGTAAGAACAAAGCATTTAACAATCATCACAAAATCCCTTTACATTATTTCCCATTAGTGCATTGCTTGCAGAAACAAATGATAGTGCCGTAGAGATGTTTTTCACACTATTAGAGCTCTCTTTTTGTTGGCAAGGAACATGTGCCAGTTGTCCCAGCGAAGCCTGGTGTCCTTGGTGCAGTCTCCACCTTCAGTACAGGTGTAGCCGGTGGGACAGCAGTGTAGCATGTCGCTGCAGCACACCGCCTGTGGAGAGGAGAGAGGAAGGAAGGTAACGTTCAACCGGTGGTGGAAGAAACAATCAGGTGCTTTATATGACCTCCATAAACAAACCAGACAATCAGAATTGTCGAATTCTCCTTGAAATCAATGAAACAAGGCGGTGGAAACACTCCCACTTTTGTCCACAGGGGGCCGCCAGAATCAACACAAAATTAAAGTTCTTGGTAAAAGTAGCCATACTACTGATCTACTACTAATCATACTACAAGTAAATGATGGCCTTTAAAATGTTAACTAAGTAAAAGTACAAGTACTTGTTATTATTATTATTACATGAGTGACATTATTGGACTAAAATATCTGAATTATTTTATTTAATGTTGTAATGTTGTTTCATTGTACATATAAACCACTGTGTTTCTTACTGTGCATATGACAATAAACCTCTTGTATCTTGAATGTTGTAGAGTAATTCAAATTTCCCTTTGAAATGTAATAGAGTGAAAGTATATAGTAGCAGAAAGTACTCAAGGTAACCCAATTATTTTCAACCACACATAGTATATATGTAAGTGGCACAGTGATGCTGCAGCTGGGTGAGGTGAAGCTAATTGTATCTACTTTATATGCAGGTGTGTATCGTTTAACATATAACAATGCAGCACAGTTTAGAAGATGATGACACGCTTTGTACGCAAAATCTGAATTTGTAAAGTAGCTTTCAAATGAAAAGTGGAGTTAAAAGTTCCCTCTGAAATGTAGCAGAGTAGTAGAAGTATAAAGGAGTGTAAAACAGGAACGCAGTTTTACTTTCCATCATAGACTTAAAAGCTAAAATAAGTTCAGGCTGCCTTTAAACCAGGACAAGAAACATTTATACAATATGTTTATATTTTCTAGACTAATTCAATATTTTACCCAGATGGCCATTGTCTCATAATCTGCCCACAGGCCTGTCAGAAACAGACACAAACCCTTCATTAAAGATGTATAGGATCTATCTGTATCTATTGACATTGATTAATCTTTTCATCTAACTCTGAACAAGAAAGCAAATAAGTCCTAAAATGTAAAGGTTGAAGTAATTACTGTATATCATACATTAGACATTGGACAGCAGCCCCAGGTAGTAGCGGACATCTTGCAGCAGGTCTCTCCATCTTCGCAGGAGGTCTTGTCATCACACTGGATGTCTCTGAGCTTTAAGGGGTTGAACTGCGGTTGGTGCTCGGGCAGATACACAGGTGTTAGCGGGACAGTCTGCAGCTGCAGCATGATGAGCTTCTGACAGGAGTTAGAGGCGACGTTACAGGTGTAACCCTGTGGACAGCAGTGCTCCTTATCTGCGCAGCACACAGCCTGCAGACACAGCAGTATAACAAGGTTAGTGAAAATTACAACCCTTATTTTACATAAGCAAAGCCTGACAAAGCTAAAATATACTGATAGTACGTCTTATATTTTCATGTCAAAGTAGCTGCACTCGTCACAGTAATCTCTCCACACACACACACACACACACACACACACACACACACACACACACACACACACACACACACACACACACACACACACACACACACACACACACACACACACACACAAATAGGGCTCACATTTTCCATCGGGCAGCAGCCCCACTGGCCCGTGACCAGTCGGCAGCAGGTGGTGTGCTCGGGGCATTGAGTCTGACCGTCGCACTGCACCGAGCTGGGATCGGCCTGGATGCTGATGGTGGCTGGAAGCTTGGTGTACCACGGGATCACCACTTCTCCTTTGATGCACGAGGTCTTGCGCTCGTCACACTTATAGTTGGTGGGACAGCAGTGGTTCCCATCAGCACAGCACACAGCCTGGGGAGAAGTGAAAGAGGAAATGCTCCTTTCACTTCATCGATCCTGTTTTCCAGTTCTTCTTTCAAAAGAATAGAGCTTATAATAGTGGGAAAAAATGATCATGTAGTAATCTTGTCGTAGTTAAGTAATTAAGTCTAACTTCTATCATTTTAAAAAAGCCTGAAGGAATTGCACTAGTGATTGTGGCCTCTAGCTGATAGAAATAATAAAGCTGGACATTAATGCAGAAGAGGGTGAGGATGCAGAAGAGGAAGTATATCACCAATAACAATGATAATAATTTAAAGTTATATATGTCTTGGGGTTTGAGAAAGTGATGCCATTTAGTGGTTTGCAGTACCGTCCCGCACTGTGTTTGTGGCGTGGGTGGGGTGTTTCCTCCCCATAAAAGAGAAAAAAATAATTCAGGTTACGCTCTACTTGTTTAAAGTTGAAAGTTTAGAGTTAGAATAGTTGCAAGAGCGTGAGTACAAACACAATGAGGCTGTAAAGGTGGACTAGTGAGTGGATACGTTTCTGTCTTCAACATGCTGATGTTTAATGTCACCGACAGCCTCTGTAGTCTCATTTTGCCACTTGTTAGCAACTCCCTTTTTTAAGACACGTGAAAGCACTTATGGGTGGGGTATTTACTGACTCTTGAGCTCGTATTAACCACATATATATCTTATTTCAGGCATCTAACAAAAAACCCCATTAAAAAAACCCCCACTGACTTTGAGGCGAGGGACCCTGAAGTGCAAACTTGCTGACTCATTACCAGGTTTTAGGACTCTATTGCAGCTTTTAATTTCACTGGAGGTCAGTGATGTGGTGAAGAAGCAGCGCTCACCTCTGGCAGCGGGCAACAGCCCCACTTATGAGTCGAGGTCATGAAGCAGCAGGTGGAGGACTGAGGGCAGCTGGTGTGGGCGTCACAATGAACCCTGCCCTGCATGTCCTCATAGTCGTCTTCCTCCTCATCCGTCATCACCTCGTCCTCCTCAGTTTGCGTTATAGTTGTAGCTGTTGTAGCCGCCACTGTAGTGGGCGATTCTGTGACAAATGCAGGAATCTTCTGAAGCATGGGCGTTGAGACAGAGCCATCGTTACAGGTGAGGGTGGTCAAGTCACAGGTGGTGCCTGTAGGGCAGCAGTGCTCGTGGTCGTCACAACAGACCGCCTTTTGAACAGAATGGCAAGAATACTTTCAGTCACAAACACTACATAACTATGAGGAATAGTCTGTATGGTAAATACAAGGCTACAGTCAGCAGCTGGTTAGCTTAGCTTAGCACAAAGACTAGAAACAACTAGCCTGGCTCTGCCAAAGGTAACAAAATTTACCAACCAGCATTTCTTTAGATCAGTAATTAAAATGTTATATTTTTATGTTTAATGTGTACAACAACAACCAAATAAAACAACCTCTGTAGTCTCAATTAGGCACTTGTTAGCAACCGCCTTATTTAAGACAAGTGAAAGCTCCAAATTGTTGCTTGCTTGTGTTAACCACATATCGGCAAGTGATTTGGGGAAGTGCAGTGTGAATACTGAGGCTTTAAAAGCTGGTTTTAAATAATCAGTGGGTGCATGTTGCTCTGGGTGTTTACCTTAGGTAGAGGACAGCAGGCCCAGCTTCCTTCTGTGGTCTTGCAGCAGGTGGTGCCATCAGGACAACTCGAGGTGGAGTCACATGAAACATTCCCCGCCTGTGTGTCCAGCCTGGGGATTGTGGGTATCTTCTTGAACCATGGCATAGATTGTGTGTCGTCATCGCAGGTCTGTGCAGCCAGATTACATTTCTTACCGTGCGGGCAGCAGTGAAGGAAATCTTCACAGCAAACAGCCTGGGAATGATATGAGCAAAGAAAAAAAAAACATGAATGCATTTGTGACGCTTTTAACGAAGTTAGTAATGTCTACAAAATGGCAAAAGTTGTACCTCTGGTAGAGGACAGCAAGCGAAGCCACCTTCTTTTTTTTTACAGCATGTGGTGCCATCTGGACAGGCTGCTGTATCATTGCAGGGGACGTCACCTGGAAAATAAATACCAATAGTATAATTTCTTACATATCTGAAATCTTCGTCAGAATGTAACATTTTCAATGACAAAAACATGTTACTGGCTATATAATATGGTGCCCTTTGTCTACATTACATTTTTGTAACCCCCAATATTTTTTGACTTGAAACAAAATATCCGCTTTTGTGACTGACCAGGCGGGAATAAACTCAGCTAATTTTACAATAACAATTTAATGTTATATTTAAAAGGTACCCTGTAGGACCTTTTTGTTTGTATTCTGCACACTTGGTTGTACACTGTTCTGCTGATGGACAGCAAAGACACGTGAATGGATGTAAACCATGTATGAGCTCAAATATTTTAAAAACTTTTATGGGGAATGCATTTCTTAAGATAAACAAATCGATGATTTGTAAAAAAAACCTGTTAAACCTCCTGCGTCAGATAATCAGAATATGATACATTGCTGATATCCTCAGTTGGCGTTGTGCTTGTACCTGCTGTACTTTGGACCGTAGTTGGCGATTCTGTGACAAATGCAGGAATCTTCTGAAGCATGGGCGTTGAGACAGAGCCATCGTTACAGGTGAGGGTGGTCAAGTCACAGGTGGTGCCTGTAGGGCAGCAGTGCTCGTGGTCGTCACAACAGACCGCCTTTTGAACAGAATGGCGAGAATACTTTCAGTCACAAACATTGTTAAGTGACAGTTGGATGTATGAATTTGCATGACAAGAGAGAATTGTCAGTCAAAGTAAAGTGAAGTTTAAGTGCAGACGAAGAACGGCACAATGCTCATTAAAAATGCTCTACTCAATATAAAAGGGATCAAATACACCTCATAACTATAAGGAATAGTTTGATGTTCTGGGAAAGTTGCTTTTGTTTTGAGAGTTAGAGGAAAGAAATTGGTACCACTTCTACGTCTTTATGGTAAATACAAAGCTTAGCACAAAGACTGGAAACAGATGAACAGCTAGCCTGGCCCGATTTAAAGGTAACACAATTCACCTAACAGCATTTCTTAATATCAGTAATTAAAATGTTATATTTTGTTTGCTTAATCTGTACAACAACAACAACCGGAGAAACCCCTGTTTTGTACTAAGCTGAGCTAGCTCTTTATGCTAACCTTAGCCAACCAGCTACTGGTGGTAGCTACATGGATCTAATCCTCTACTGGAACTTCAGGCAAGAAAAGGGAATAAGCAGAAGTCCCAAGATGTTGAACTACTCTACTAAAGAAATAATATGTGTTACTTCATGTCAATACATTTGGATTTTACAACATTGTATTACCCATTATTTCAACATACACATATATTTTGCTGTTCTGAACATTTCACAACCTCAGGAAGGCGTGAGTTTTACAATTCTGGCAGCTGCAAACAGCTGTTTCTTTAACACATTAACATGAACAGTGATAGCCACCATCGCAGGGGATTTGGGGAAGTGCAGTGTGAATACTGAGGCTTTAAAAGCTGGTTTTAAATAATCAGTGGGTGCATGTTGCTCTGGGTGTTTACCTTAGGTAGAGGACAGCAGGCCCAGCTTCCTGCTGTGGTCTTGCAGCAGGTGGTGCCATCAGGACAACTCGAGGTGGAGTCACATGAAACATTCCCCGCCTGTGTGTCCAGCCTGGGGATTGTGGGTATCTTCTTGAACCACGGCACAGAGCATGTGTCGTCATCGCAGGTCTGTGCAGCCAGATTACATTTCTTACCGTGCGGGCAGCAGTGAATGAAATCTTCACAGCAAACAGCCTGGGAATGATATGAGCAAAGAAAAAAATATATAATTAATGCACTTGTGACGCTTTTAACAAAGTTAGGAATGTCTACAAAATGGCAACCAAAGTTGTACCTCTGGTAGAGGACAGCAAGCGAAGCCGCCTTCTTGTTTTTTACAACATGTGGTACCATCTGGACAGGCTGCTGTATCATTGCAGGGGACGTCACCTGTTAAATAAATACCAATAGTATAATTTCTTACATCTTCATAATAAATCTTCCCTCATGCTGAGAAGACAGTACGTCAGAATGTAACATTTACTTTCACACGGTATAAACTTTGCCTTGTTATGGCAGGAAATATTGCACCTTATAAACATTTAGGTGTGCCAGTAAGCCATGCACCCAGTGACACACCTGAATTAAACGGAATGCAGCCATTGTTAGTGTTATTAAACCTCACCCTTCAATTGTGCTAGCTCCTTCCCTTCCTCTCAGCAAGTTTAAAAAATGTATCAGAGTGCTAGTGACTCGGAGAGGCTAACTCAGACTGTCAGTGCGAGGCATCAAGGTGAACACTGCTCAGAAAACACGTTTTATGGTGGAGCACCTTTTCAAATCAAAGTGTGTGCTATAAGAAAGGTCTATTGATGTATTTTTACTTTTAGCTACAGAAACTACTTTAAGACTTTGTGGTGGATCAAGGATTTCGGGGGAGCTCACTTTTGGACTGACCGTGATGCACAGTATGCTGACTACAAAACAGAGAAATGAATAATGGCGATTCGGTGGTCACTGACTGACTGGGACTAGGAATGTTTATTTTATGTATATTTTCTGATCTGAAGTTAAGGATATTGCGCAGCAAGGTGATGGCAAGCATATTATTATCTTTATTAAAGTTAGTAAAGTAGTAAATAGTAGCCTAATTTCACAAACAATCCTTGATGATGAAGATATAGATAAACAGAAATGCGTAGCAAAAACACCATATTGTCAATATTTTAGAGACAAATCATGTTTTCAAGGGGAGCTCAGGTTTCATTAAGAGGTTCCCAGCTCCCCCTGGCTCCCCTGTAGTTCGCACCCTGTTTGTGATGCACCTCTGCATTATTTTTAGGTGTTTGTTTCTACATAATTGGACGCATCTCACCTGCAGCTGCCTTAGAGACAGGCGAAACAGATACTTCCTTCTCTGAAGGAGGAACTGCATCCACTTTGGTGACTTCAGGGGCTGTCTCTGCAGACACTTTTTCACCGTCTGAAAGTTGACACACACATATCAGGCTGCATGATCGCACACTCAGATTTAGACAATGATTAATCAGAAAGAGGAAGTAAGTTTACAGCAAAAAACAACCCTGACCTTTCTGGTTCTCCCACTCTGCCCTTATTCGTGCAGGAAGTTTGGCCCACATTGGCATCTCTTTTTTGGTAGATGAGGAAATACATTTTGAGTGTTCGACATCACATTCGCTCCCTTCAGGACAGCAGTGTACTTTATCCTCGCAGCACACGGCCTGTTTAGACAATAGAGACCGATGGAGCGTCACCATATACCCACGCATGATAACACACCGTAAAGACGCCGAGGCAGGAACATGCAAATCCATCGTTTGACTTGCGTATATGTCTATAATGAAAAGATCCTCCATTTTGTACCTTTGGCATGGGACAGCATCCCCATTTGCCTTCAGAGTCTTCACAGCAGGTGGTTCCATCTGGACACTCTGACACTCCGTCGCTGCACAGCACTGTAGTCACAAGCTCTGCAACAAGATAATAATACATCAAATTTTAAAATGTCTATGATTAGGGGGCTTAGAGATAAAAGTAAACCCCTTGTGCAAGGTAAGGCATGTTTATTTGTATAGCACCTTTCAACAACAAGCCAATTCAAAGTGCTTTACATAACACATAAAAGGGCGAATATATGTATAAAGACACAAGTAAAATAAGAGATACAAAAGTTTAATAAAATAGATGAAACAGGAGGATAAAAGTTACAGTGCAGCTACAGTGAAAGATACAAATAAATAGTCCCAATTTTAATTCAATACAAGTTAGTGAAAAGCAGGAAGATTTGAAACCTTGACAGGAGGTTTTTTGAGAGTTTGTTCCACATATGTGGTGCACAGAAAATGAATGAATCCTTTAATTCTTGCTATATTCTTACAGTGTTAGTCAGCTGATTATGTATTTAAGCCCATGACTACACCAATATTTCTGGCCTGGTTTGTGATTTCTAACGTTAGCCACTGACACCAAGCACTGACTAGTTTAATTGTTCTTCTTTGGGCCTCAAAACTTTCTTTCTTTACACATCCAATAATTGATTTGTTCAATTTCTTCACACAGTGCTTGTATAGTCACCTGGTGATATTGTAAATATGTGTCGTCTGCATAATAAGGGTGAGATATTTTGTTTTCCACATGCAGGTGCAGGTTAAACAGAAGAGGTCTGAGAACGGGCCTTTGGGAAGTCCCCCTCCTGCAAACAGGATTCACATTCAGACAGTTTTCTAGAATATGTTGTGCTTATAAGTAAAAGATTTTCACCTTTTTTGATGCAGGAGCGGCTGTCCGCGCTGCACTGGTGGTTCTCAGGACAGCAGTGTTTCCCATCAGAGCAGGGGACTCCCTGTCAGGGGCCAGGAACAACAACATTTATATTCTACAATTCATAAATGAATATCTTTATTAAAACACAGCTGCTCATTGTACACTGTTGCTGTAAAGCAATCCAACACAAAGAGCTGCTGCATGTTCACAGTTTCATATTAAACCACCCACAATAGCATTAATCCCCCGCAACATATTTTCATCTTCCGTGAAGTGAAACCAGCTTAGTTTGTCAACCAAACGAGCAAAGATCCTCTTTGCGACAGGAAGTAACTGGGTTTCTAGAAAACATATTTTAGATTTGCATAGCATATGCACTCAGTTTTATGAAGAGTATGTATGAGTGGCTAACCAATGAACACGGATTTTGGTCTTTATTTACTATTTGTCATTTCTGTTACTTGACATAACGTATGACCTATCGATACAATTCATGTGGTTATTACTTCTATTTCCCTTATAACTGCACCATTAGTACTAGTATTACTACTACTAGCAGTGGCGTGCACAAGGGGGGGGGGGGTCGCCTAAAGTGCTAAAGTGCCCTCTTGGGAGCCAAAACAGTGCTAACGTGTGCTATTGGGAGGCAAAATACACTAAATTACCTTCTTGGGTGGAAAAAACACTCAACTGCCCTCTTCTATATTCTATTATTAGGTAGATGCCTGTTGCATGTTTAAGGAGGAGCTACCTCACTACGTCTTGTGGGAATAGCCAGTAAAGTTAAAAGTTGGGTTAGCATTGCATATCAGGGTTTCCGCCAGCTTTAAGTTGACTCCCCGCCGGGCTAAGCATCTGGGATCATTTTTAAAAATGCTTTCTTGAAAATGCCTTTTAAACTCCAGCTTGCAAGTTAAGGACAGAAAGTCTTGTTAGTAGGCCAATGCTATTGAGTAGGCTAGTGGCTAATGCTAGCAGCTAGTTGAGAGGGAGAGAGACCAGTGTGATGATCAGCTAAGCAGAACAGAGCTGGGTGAGCATTATAAACTGTGAAAGCTTTAGTGTATATTAGGATACACTTTGCAATAAAAATAGATAATGCAGTCATCTGTGTAAAGCAGATTTCCTGAATTTTGTGAAGGCTAGATACATTTAGGCTAGCTAATTTTAAAGACCTGAATGAGCCCTAATTTATTCCACGGAGCAGTAAATGTGTCTCAGACCTTTTCAACAGCTATGGCTTAAGTTTTGATATTGTTTTATTTTAATTCAGTTTCTTTTGTTGCTGTTGAAAACACAGCATTCAGGAGTGCACACTGTCTGATTCTCTATGACACATTACTATTGCAATGACTTTTATGTTGGGCCCTTTGTTGATCTATATTGAGCCAGAACGATATCTCACAGAAGCAGTTTGGATTATCTGGTGTTGATATGGTGTTAAAATGCACTAGAATACAGGAAATGGCATCTACTTAATTGAACATGTTCTAGGGGAAGACCCCCAGACCCCCTAGGGATTTATGTCCTTCATACATCCATGTCGCTGTGTGTTCTTCACAGTCCAACGTTGAAATCCACACAGTTCTCGTGGATGCTGATCCTAACAGCAAACTAACCTGAGTAGTCTGTCTAGTTAGTCTGTTTTAAGGCTATATAAAGTGCCATTTGTATAACATATAAAAGGTGTCTAAAGTGCCCTCTACAGTAGTGAGGACGCGCTTTATGTGCCCTTTTTTTCTTTCCACCCCTGCCCATCAAAAAGTCTGTGCACGCCACTGACTACTATACTATACTATACTACTATAAATTATATCTAGATGTTTATAATGATATCTGTGTTGGACAAGGTTTGATTACCTGTGCTAGGGGACAGCAGCCGAACCTTGTCAAGGCCCTCAGACAGGAGAATTCAGGTGGGCACCGTGACTGATCGGGACAGACGTTGTCGTCATCCTCCCCCATGTACGCCTTGATCATCCTGAAGGACTGCAGGGGACAGGGTGGGAGAGGGGGTACAATCTTAAATACATCAAACTCTTTACTCAGTATGTTCTGATGGAAGGTACAGATGTCTGGTATTCTTACTTTAGAGTGTCTGGGTTGGTCAGCAGAAGCTCTTTCCACCCAGGGGATGGTAACGGTAGCGTTCACACAGCTGGACGTGGCCGTATCGCAGATTGTTTCCGCGGGGCAGCAATGTATGTGATCATCACAGCACTCGGCCTGCGGAGGAGAGCAGGAGTAGGAGCACTTTGACTACCAAAGTTTTAAAACTGCTATCAGTCTGGGTTAATGAGGCCTGAGCTTTTATCTGGCTCATAAAGTAGTAAAACAACTACTCAGCATGAATAGTAATTCTGTTCATTTTAGAGAACAAGAGGAGTGGTTATCTCATACAATATGTACATTTAACTATGTGATAGACAAATGGACAAAGTATTCTGCTCAAGATGAAATACTATGTAAAGTTAATTGTGCTGCCGTATAGCAGAGAGCAGTAACAGCAGCAGGTTTAAAGTTTTCACACTGAGAAAAGTACAACAGTTGGAAAGGGTGCAATTCCTTCATTTTAGGTCTTTTGGGACTAGTATTAGATGATAATTATTGACACAGACCTTTGCAAAACCTTCAGAGAATATAGGAAACACAGTTATCAACAAAACGTTCCGCTTTCATTTAACCTTTTTTAATAATAACCTTGAAATTTAGATTGAAGAGAAGCTCAACAAGGAAGCTTTGTCAAGGCTAACTATCTCTGGCTAGGGTTTAGTTCTGTTACTTACTAGCTGTGTAGTTCACTGTTTGGTTGTTGTGTTTTCTTTTAATTGTTTTTTTTTGTTTACAGGCATTAAACATATTGTACAGAGCTGAAGCAGAGAACGTGGGGTTTAAAGTCTCCGGATTGACCGGGTAAACGTAACATACGGATGCGATGCAGTTCCTTTATTTGATGTCTTTTTAGACTTAATATCTTACAACAAAAAGATTATAGTCTTAAAATAAATTTGAAGCATTGGGCATTGTGCACAAATCAAATCAAATGAATAAAAGTTCAAAAGAGAAGCTAATTTAAACTCTTTCACCATGCCAGATAACCAGCAGGTATAGTATTGCTTGCTTTGCAGAGACACCAAATTTAGACAAACTGTGTATAAATTATGCAAATAATATGTTTTTTTTTTTCCTGTTACTAAAAAAACTTTTCTTTTGAACATCTCACTTAGTGTAAGAACAAGTGGTGTGGTGGAACAAGCAGGTTGTAATGTACAATATGGGTTAGTTTCTTCCAACTTTATGGTTAATATGATAATGTAGTGCATGCGGGTAGTACAACCAGGTCTACCTGATCAAACGGGCAGCATTCATAGCCGTTGGCCGGGTCGTTGCAGCAGGTTTGACCGTCTTCACATTTTCCTCCATCTGGACACTCTTCTGCACCAACCAGGGCCAGGAGAGCCCAACAGACCACAACCCACTTCTGCATCTGGGACACACACACACACACACACACACACACACACACAGGTCTTTAATGAAGGGAAAGTGAAAGGGTGGAATCCCCCTCCTCTCCATCCAACATCAGAAACAAAGGTTTTTGCATCAGAAATTGTTTTATACGCATGCTCAGATATTTCTACATGTCCATGAACTTCTCTGTCTGTAAAAAACTAATTTTACCTTTCTGGTGTTTTCAGACTTATTCTTTAAATACAACACATTCACTGAAAATGAGTCATACACGTCAAACACAAAAATTCAAACAATGGGTCAGGTTTGTCTTATTTCCTCAAGCGTTTAACTTCCCTTAGAGGTTTGTTCTTGTTTCTTGTTTTTTATGCTTCTTTATTTCGCAATGAATGAGCAAGTCAAACACAATAGGACATAAAAAATAAATTAACACACTTTCAGTTTCGTTTAGCTGGCGCATGAGCTTGCATTAAGATTTATTCTAATCAGTCATAAAACACAAGGGAATTATTATTATTTACAAAGTATTATTATTATTTAAAAAATGCAATTAAAAAAGTAGTTGTCTACTGTACATGTGTCTGAATCACTACAAAATAAAAGGATTATCTCAGATTCTCAGAGCTAAAAGAAAATGTTTATTTCTCTTACCTTGGTGAAAGACTGAAGGGCTGTTGTGAGCAGTCAGGTGTTTCACAAGTGACCAGACAACGGAAAAGACCTGCACTTTATTGAACACACCCTCAGAGAGAGAGAGAGAGAGAGAGCGAGAGAGAGAGAGGGAGAGAGAGAGAGAGAGGTTCCTAATTTCTCTGAATACCCTGCAGCGCCTCTTCTGGTCTCTTCCATTAATTAACTAATTGACTCCACTAAAAGTTAAGTTTGACTGATGAGAGTGAAACGAAGTTGCTCCCGTTTACCCGCACGCTGCACTGAACAGGTTGCAGTTCACTGTCGGATAAACTTGTTTACATGCGGCGAGTGTGCGGCAGCTGCAGCGCACCACCGCGTCCTCTCCACCAGGGGGCGCCAGAGCCAACAGCAGCATCAGCGGCAGGGCGGGGAGGGGGGCGGGGCCTGACAGTTTACCACAGATCTCCACAACATGCGGATCGGCCTCACGCCATCGCTGTCACGTCCAATCGCTGAGCGTAGCGCCTTATAGGTTTGTGATGTGAACGTTACGTGTTGTGACCTGTACGTATAAACCGCCGTGCTTACAAGCTACTAGCTCGACTCCAAGAACATGTTTACGGTCTCTCCTCAACGGGGAACCGTAACAAACTGTGGTTTAACGTTCGCTCTTAAATGTGGCGACGTTACGTTAAGTTAACTGAAATGGGAATCCGCTTCACACAACGCTGGCAGCTGAAGTAAAGGTGAGTAAGGTTAGCTTGTCATCCTAAAAAAAAAAAAAAAAAAAAGCTAGGTAGCTAGCAGCTAGCTTCCACTCTAATGCAGACATGTTAAGACAAGTGTAGCTTAATGCGTTGGCTAAATGATCGCATTGGGTTTTAATCCTCCTCTCCTCAAGTGTTGAGTTTAAGATAACTTATATACACATTTTGTTTGGGCGTTAATGTACGTTAGCTAACGTTGGAGAGAAAGTGTCAGCACAGCAAGGTTAAGTTAGATCATTGATTGAGTTGCACAACTGACACGTTCATGTACTTTAATTTGAATGAATTAGATGTGTCTCTTTTGTTTTTGTTTTTTTTGTTGTGCCCTGACAACATGAGTGCAATGTAGGTAGTTTATATTTAGAGTCAGGTATTGACAGGGAGAGAACAAACATCTCATTTTTAGGACACATGTAGCTTCATGTTTGTTTGTTTGTTTGTTTTTGGCCACTTTGTTTGTCCAAGCTGCTTACCTGCCAGACAGCCCTTGAGGGACAAGTGGTTATAACTGTCACACTAAAGTGTCATCAACTCCAGGAACAGGACAAACAAGGGGAGACAAATGGCAACCACACAGGTTGAAAACAAGCAAAGTTTGAAATGATTCAGTTACTTTGCCAAAAATCCTCATTGAGCCAAAAACATCTTGTCTGCCGGTGATGGATTTGTCGACATTAAAGTCAGGACTCATTTCTTTATCTACCTTTTTTGTTAGTTTTTCTTCCATGTCCCTGTTTGGCTGATTACATATGATCTATCCGCTGCTACCAGCTCTCTCTGTTAGGAGTGGGCCAGGAGGTGAGGCTCTCACTGGTTGTCTGGTGACATGCGCATCGTAGATAAGCTATCATAATGTTTCAACGACCCCATTATAACAACCCGCCCAGACTTACCCAGTTCACAGCACCGAAGGATGTCTAATCTGACTTTAGTACACAGTAATAATCGGCCTGTCGGATGTAGCTTTTTTTCCCTGAAGGACAACAGTAGACGTTGCACTTATTTTTACTTTTTAAATGTAATTTTTTTTTGTTTCCATGAGTAACTTGGAGCATCTCAGGAGCAGGCGTCACACAATTAGCACTCTGACATAAGAGGACACCAACCTAACCACAGACTAGGTATAAAGTTGCTGATCCTCCAGGACACAAACACTTTAGTTGTTTTACATAACAAGGAAACAAAGACGTCTGACTGCTCGGGTCGGAGCAGGTCAGAAAACTCCTCTGTGAAGTTTAGTTACAGAACATTGTGTTCTCATTGGGTTTTTTTCTGGTGTGACAGGTGGGCAGGATGGGGGAGCGGGCCGTCAACAGCCCAGTGGCTGCCATCTCTCCAGTGCAGCAGATGCTGGCTTCTGGCACTGGAGCCCTCCTCACATCTGTTTTTGGTGAGATCACAGAAACAAAGAATAGAAAAAGCAACGTATGTCTGTATGTCTAATGTGTTTAAAAAATGTTTTTAAAAAAATCTTAAATATCCTTTTTTTTTTAGATGGGTTGTTACAGAGATTACATGAGCAATCTTTCAGTGGACTTGACTGGTTACAATAAGAGTGAGAAATGTATCTTATCCTCCACAGAAACTTTTCAAACCATTCCTGCAGCATATTTTACTCGTGTGCTGTCATTTAATATCTTCATTATGTTCCAAACAATTGTCCTTTCATCAGACCACAGCTAAATACACTGCTAGTGTGTTGTACTATCTGCATTCTTGAAAATCAGCCGGAAGTATACTTTTTGCTCAACCTACAGTTTGAAGCATACTGAGCACTCAGTGAAACAGTGGCTGCAGCTGCAAGAGTGCTTTGAGAAGTTCACGTGAATATTTCAGATTTTCCTCAAGGGACTTTATGCCATACGACAGCCTCTATCTTTAGACCCTTGATTCGGAAAACCTCCCCAAAAAATATATTTGCCTTCCAATGGAGTTAGTGTTACAATTAGTTAGTTGCCTGTTTATTAGGTACAGCTAGCTCAAACTAATGTAGTCTAACACAACAGTGCTGCAACTCCAGTTCAAATCCTTCATAAAGGTTATAATGTTCAGTTTTTATTGACTTTTATGGTTTTCTGAACTTTTGGAAGAAGTACTTTGTGGTGTTGTTGAACTGTATTGCCTTACAGGTCATTGACAAGAATGGGGTGGACAAAATAATAGAAACACTTTCTAGGCTAATGCAATACAGTTCAACAGCCCCGCCAACTGCAGCCTCCAAAATCAATGCGTCTCTAAAACATGTTTACCCCAATGAAGGGAAGTACTGTTTTTAGACCGCATTAGTTTTAGCTAGGTGTACTTAATAAATTGGCAAATAAGTGTCATTATAATAATTTGATCTGTCGACGTGTTTGTTTACAGTCACACCGCTGGACGTTGTGAAGATCAGGCTGCAGGCTCAGCAAACACCGTTCCACCAAGGTAGGGTCTCTTTCCGTGGTTTTGAAACACTGACTTTGCTTTTTTTAACAGCTGCTTGTGTCAATGTGTATCTTGATGCTTTTCTAACACCGCTACACCTGCCTTTTGCTTTGTTTCATAGCTTCAGCTCCGTGGGGTGGCGTCATCCGCCCTTCCAAGTGTGAGTATCTGACCCGCCGTCACTGCACGCTAAAACATGGTCACATTTTAAAAACAACACCGTGATCCAGCACAACCTTTCTGTGTGTGGGCACGTGCTCGACTAACAAACACCTCTTGCCAGTGAACACTCAATAACCCCTTTTGTAGATAGATTCACGTGTTTACTGTCGGCTATTTTTGTTTCCCTTCGTGGCCTTCGGTCCTTTTTGTTTGTTGATGTATAAAGGTTATATGGCTGCAGTTTTCTACCTGGCTTTCAATTACCAGTTCATGTTTGTATGTGTGATAGCTTCAAATGCTAAAAATGTTACCTAGATACAAGTCACCACTTAAAATTCACTCTTTCTTTCATAAATGTATTGTTTTTGTTTCCTGCGTTATTTCCACATTTCAAAATCTGTAGTAGGAGCAGATTGTGAAATTGTGCTTTTTTTAGAGTTACTTTACTCTGGTTTTTGTCAAAAGTCTATCTTGAACCAAGCTCTGAATAAACAGGCAAAGTAAGCAGTGACGAGGGCAGGCCTGATGTTATCTTCTGACTGACTCTGTGGTCATTGCCACGGCATGTATTATTAATCACCTTCCTCTCCTCTGTCAAGGATTGTAGTTGAGAACGCATGAAACCTTTTTACAGATCAGATTTTTAAAGTCTAATTATCTGGTGTTTGCTGGGAAGGCCAGTGTCGTTCAGTTATTGTATGCTTGTAACTCTGCTGACCCCTGGTTGCTCCGTCTCTTACAGGGAGGTGTTTCCTGTATTGTAATGGACTGATGGATCACATCTACGTGTGTCAGAATGGAACCAGTTGCACCAGCTGGTACAAAACACCAACACATTTCAGTGGGACACTTGTAAGTACAAGTACATGAGCAGCTTTGCCTTTGCCACGGTCCTTTTTCACACAGTTTGAATATGATTGTGTCACACATATTTGTTTGTGCCGTAGGACGCTTTTGTGAAAATCACTCGACATGAAGGACTCAGGTCATTGTGGAGTGGGCTACCACCAACACTGTGAGTGTCCAAACTTTCCTCAAGTCAGTGTTTAAAATACTTAATTCAGGGTGCCAGTGTGCTACTTTATAGTGTGATAATTACAAGAAGTGTTTAATCTGCAAATATATTATATAACAGCATTTAGACTAAATTCTTCTTCTTTATAACAGGATGACCCGCCTCAGCTATCCATTGGCAGAACAGCCAAACAAAAACGTATAAAGGCTTTTAACAATTATAAATCCGCGCGTTTTTGAAACAGTTTTCCATGCCATCGACATCACTCTAGTAGATGTTGCCTCGGATAGTTATTTTCTAAGCTGCTGCAGTCAGGAAGGAACATCCATCTTAGCAGGAAACAGCAGGAAACAACACTATCAAGTGTTCAGTTAAACATTTGATATGTACGTACACATACAGTGTTCTCCCAGAACTGAGGTATGTGGTTTTATCTGAGTATGTACAGAACCACATATTTCGTAGTTTTTAAACTCTGTTAACAAAACACAAAACCAGCACTTCTTTACAAACACGATACAAAACAGGAAAAAGAAACAGCATACACACACACACACACACACACACACACACACACACACACTGACCACCACCAGTCTGACATAATTACATTCAAGTCACTTGGGTATTATGTTGTCAGTTCCAATTTTATTAATTGGGTAGAACAAAGGTCAGTCCAGAGGGGTCCACCGTGTCCAAGACTGGTGACTATATCTTAATAAATCCCTCAACACCTGAGAGGCGTATTCTCAGAATCTTACACCAATCATCCAGTGAAGGGTATCCTCAGAAATCAAGAATTTAGAATATAGTCTTTC